TGCAGTGGCCGGATCTCAGCTCACTGCAAGCTCCGCCTCCCGGGTTCACGCCATTCTCCGGCCTCAGCCTCCCGAGTAGCTGGGACTACAGGTGCCCGCCACCTCGCCCGGCTAGTTTTTTGTATTTCTTAGTAGAGACGGGGTTTCACCATGTTATCCAGGATGGTCTCGATCTCCTGACCTCCACCCGTCTCGGCCTCCCAAAGTGCTGGGATTACAGGCTTGAGCCACCGCGCCCGGCCTTTTTTTTTTTTTTTTTAGTAGAGACAAGATTTCGAATGTTGGCCAGTCTGGTCTCGAATTCCTGACCTCAAGTGATCCGTCTGCCTTGGCCTCCAAAATGTTGGGATTACGGGCGTGAGCCACCACACCCAGTCAGACACAGTGGGTTTAGGTTGTGTGTGGTGAAGGGGAGAGTAAAAGACACAGAAGGACTGGTCATATTTGACTCTCATTGTATGCGGGATTCGATTTCAAATCAGAGCATGAGGTCAAATCACATATAGGTAAAATTATCTACTCTTTTTTTTTTTTTGAGGCAGAGTGTTGCTCTGTCACCCAGGCTGGAGTGCAGTGGTGTGATCTTGGCTCACTGCAACCTCTGCCTTTTGGGGTTGCAAGTCTCCTGCCTAAGCCTCCTGAGTAACTGGGATTACAGGCGTGCACCACCACCTTCAGCTAATTTTTATAGTTTTAGTAGAGTTTCGCCATGTTGGCCAGGCTGGTCTTGAACTCCTGGCCTCAAGTGATCTGCCCACCTCAGCCTCCCAAAATGTTGGTAATACAGGCATGAGCCACCGTGCCTGGCTAAAATTATCTACTCTTTTTTTTTTTTTTTTTGGAGATGGTCTTGCTCTGTCGCGCAAGCTAGAGTGCAGCGGCACATTCTCGGCTCACTGCAAGCTCTGCCTCCCTGGTTCAAGCGATTATCCTGCCTCAGCCTCCCGAGTAGCTGGGATTACAGGCACCTGCCACCGTGCCTGGCTAATTTTTATATTTTTAGTAGAGATGGGGTTTCACCATCTTGGTCTGGCTGACCTCGAATTCCTGACCTCATGATCCACCCGCCTCGGCCTCCCAAAGTGTTGGGATTACAGGCGTGAGCCTCCGTGCCCTGCCAATTATCTGCTCTTAAAAGTCCCCATGCTAGGCCAGGTGTGGTGGCTCACACTTGTAATCCCAGCACTTTGGGAGGTTGAAGCGGGCGGATCATGAGGTCAGGAGATCGAGACCATCCTGGGTAACATGGTGAAACCCTGTCTCTACTAAAAATACAAAAAAATTAGGTGGGCATGGTGGCGGTGCCTGTAGTCCCAGCTACTCTAGAGGCTGAGGCAGGAGAATGGCGTGAAGCCAGGAGGCGGAGGTTGCAGTGAGCCGAGACAGCACCACTGCACTCCAGCCTGGGTGACAGAGCAAGACTCCGCCTCAAAAAAAAAAAGTCCCCATGCTTGCCCACAGAGCATCTCTCAGAAAGTCTAGCAGATTCATATCATCCTCCAGTGTGAGAACAGATTGCCTCTTCAGCTGGGCACCAGAGGAAATACTGATCTTAGGTTTTGGAGCCATGCTGAATTAAAACCTTAGCGTCACACAGTGAAACTGAACCAGCCGAGGGAATGGCAGATTCACAGTTTCCATCATTATTTGTTTATATATATATATATATATATATATATATTTTTTTTTTTTTTTTTTTTTTTTTTTTTTTGTGAGACGGAGTCTCGCTCTGTCTCCCAGGCTGGAGTGCAGTGGCCGGATCTCGGCTCACTGCAAGCTCCGCCTCCCGGGTTCCCGCGATTCTCCTGCCTCAGCCTCTCGAGTAGCTGGGACTACAGGTGCCCGCCACCTCGCCCGGCTAGTTTTTTTTGTATTTTTTATTAGAGACGGGGTTTCATCGTGTTAGCCAGGATGGTCTCGATCTCCTGACCTCGTGATCCGCCCGTCTCGGCCTCCCAAAGTGCTGGGATTACAGGCTTGAGCCACCGCGCCTGGCCAGCTCTCATTCTTTAACAGATACTTACAGATGGCCTGTGTGTCAGATGCTGTGCTAGGCTCAGACCAAGAACCCTTGTGTTTCCACATCTTACATTCTAGCCAAGAGGCAGATGATGAACAAATAAGCAAAACGTAATTGCTAGCCAGTAGTACTATGAAGACAGAGCAAGGCACAGGTTAGGAAGTTCTGGAGTGGCTTGGGAAGGCCTTCTGGGAAGCAGGATTTCATTGTCATCAACTCTACAGGAGAGGAAGTCAACTCTGCAGATATGGGGACGGGGGAGGGGGCCCAAGCCAGCAGAGAGAACAGCCGGTGCAAAGGCCCTGAGGCAGGCAAGAGGGTGCCTGCGTGTTTGAGCCCAGCGAGTGGAGGGAAGGTGGGGAGGAAGCCAGGCGGTGAGGTTGGAGGGCCTGTAGCCCATTGTGTTGACCTTGACCTCTGCTTTGGGTGAGAGGAGAGCATTGGAGAGTTTTGAGCTGAGGAGGGACAAAATATGTTTAGCAAGATCACTCTAGTTTCTGAGAAAAACCTGAAGAGGGACAAGGGAGCTATAATATTTAGGGGACTGTTGTAGTGGCCCTGGTGAAAGACGGGTGAGAACTAATTAATTCTGGATATTCAGAAGTTAGAGCCACCATTACATTTACTGTCAAATTAGATATGGGGTATCAAACAAGATGAGTTCAAGGGAAGCTCCGAGGTCTTTGCCTTGAATCAAGGGATGGATGGACTCACTTGTTTCCAAGGTCTTTAGCTTGAATCAAGGGATGGATGGACTCACTTTTAGTTGAGGTGAGGAAGCCTCAAAGCCTCACGTGTAGTTCTTCCCGTGGCAGCGGTAGAGATGGGGGTCGGGGAGGCCAGCGTCTCAGTTTAGGACAGGTTAGTTTGAGATTAGGAAGATACCAGATACCAGGGAGAGAGATGGGGTAGGTAGGTGAATATATGCAAATCCGGAGCTCAGGTAGGAGTTCAGGCTGGAGAGCTACGTTTGAGGGTGATCAGTGTATAGGTAACATTTCTTTCTTTTTTTTTCTTTTTTTGAGATGGAGTCTCACTCTGTCACCCAGGCTGGAGTGCAGTGGCGTGATCTTGACTCACTGCAGCCTCTGCCTTATGAGTTCCAGCGATTCTCCTGCCTCAGCCTCCTGAGTAGCTGGGACTACAGGCGTGCGCCACCATGCCCAGCTAATTTTTGTATTTTTGGTAGAGACAGGATTTCACCTTGTCGGCCAGGCTGGTCTCAAACTCCTGACCTCATGATCCGCCCGCCTTGGCCTCCCAAAGTGCTGGGATTACAGGTGTGAGCCACCACGCCTGCCCGGTGGTATCTCAAACCATGAGATGGGATGAGACCTTCCAGGGAGTGAGAGAGCAGGCAGAGAAAAGGTCTAAGGACTGAGCCACTGTGTTCCCCATCATTAGGTCAGATGAGAAGGAGCCAGCCACGAAGACTGGGAAGGAGTGGCTGTGGGGAGGTGGGTGGTGTCCTAAACACAGGTGTCTTTTTAAGTCAGAGGGGCCCGGAGAAGGATTCTTGTAGTTTTTTTTGTTTTGTTTTTTTGTTTTCTTGTTTTTTTTCAGACGGAGTTTCACGGTTGTTGCCCAGGCTGGAGTGCAATGGTGCAATCTCGGCTCACTGCAACCTCTGCCTCCTGACCTCAAGTGATCCGCTCACCTCAGCCTTCCGAGTAGCTGGGATTAGAGGCATACGCCACCACGCCCAGCTAATTATATATTTTTTAGTAGAGACGGGGTTTCTCCATGCTGGTCAGGCAGGTCTCGAATTCCCGACCTCAAGTGATCCGCTCGCCTCAGCCTCCCCAAGTGCTGGGATTCCAGGCGTGAGCCACCGCGCCCGGCTGATCCTTGTAGTTTGAGTAGTTATTCCTCTCTCTCAGCACGGGCAGTTCATTGGTGAACTGAGAAAGTGACACACACATGATGCAATTCCACCGTATCAGGTTTGAAAGCGCTCCATGCCAGCAGCGTGTGGGAGTGTAGGAATGGCAGTTGTAATGAGACATCACAGTGTAAAATTCCTGAGCTCTGCTCTAGTACAGCCTGGGGACAGACGTCTGGGCCAAGAAGGGCTTCTGTGAGACACAGCATGGGACAGTGGCCTGGCCAGAGACTTGGGCATGCATCTAAGGGCTGTAAGCCTCAGTTTCCCTATCTGTAAAGGTGTCTCCACCCGGGAGCATTTTGTGAGGATTCAGAGAAACTGCACATGGAATGCTCCACCAAGCCCAGGAACTTACCAAGGTCTCATCAATGTGAATGATTCTATAATTGCCAGGCCTCTGCCAGGGGTTCTGAATGCTCAAGCACAGACCAGAGCCCATGGGGACACCCCTGTGCAGATCTTCTCAACCATTTCTTTCTTTCTTTTTTGAGACAGAGTTTCACTCTATAGCCCAGGCTGTTGTGCAGTGGTGCGATCTCAGCACGCTGCAACCTCTGCCTTCCAGGTTCAAGCGATTCTCCTGCCTCAGCCTCCCGAGTAGCTGGGACCACAGGTGCTTGCCACCACGCTCAGCTAAATTTTTGTCTTTTTTTTTTTGAGACGGAGTCTCGCTCTGTTGCCCAGGCTGGAGTGCAGTGGCCGGATCTCAGCTCACTGCAGGCTCCGCCTCCCGGGTTCACGCAATTCTCCTGCCTCAGCCTCCCGAGTAGCTAGGACTACAGGCGTCCGCCACATCGTCCGGCTAGTTTTTTGTATTTTTTAGTAGAGACGGGGTTTCACCGTGTTAGCCAGGATGGTCTTGATCTCCTGACCTCGTGATCCACCTGTCTCAGCCTCCCAAAGTGCTGGGATTACAGGCTTGAGCCACCGCGCCCGGCAATTTTTGTCTTTTTAGTAGAAATGGGATTTCACCATGTTGACCAGGCTGGTTTCAAACTCCTGGCCTCAAGTGATCCACCCACCTCAGCCTCCCAAAATGCTGGGATTACAGGCCTGAGCCACCGCGCCTCCCCCGCTCAAGAAGTCACACAACTCTTGTCATTCCAAGAAATCTTAATTTCTTTATTGTTTGACTTTTTGACTCAACAATTTTTTTTAAACTTTTTGTTTTTTTCTGAAACGTTCTTGTTGTTATGAGCCTTTTGTTTTGTTCTCGTTAAATGCACTCGACCCAAAATTGGTTTGGCATATCGAAAAGGAGACCAAGGAGGGAGGGACTGGGGCGTGGGAGGCGGGGAGGAGGCCCGAATGGACAGAAAGTTGAGGATGAGAGAAGAGGAACATAGAGACAGCGAGAAACACGTGGGGAAAGAGAGTTGGAGACAGAGAGAGAAAGGGAAGGCAAGGGAAAGCCAAAAGAAACCAAAATCCAGAGAAAAAGAATTAACAAGATTTAGGAGCAAATTTCAGGAGCCCAAGGAAGGGAGTAGGAGAGGAAACCAAGACCCTTCTCTGTACCGTCCCAGCTGGGGTGGGGGCGTCAAGGCACCAGGTCTGGTTAGGTGGGGGGGACACCTGGGCTCTGGGGGCAGCTTTGCACTGGACTGCAGTGGTGTCCAGCCCCAGCAGGGGGCCCTGCCACACAGCTCTGAGGCCTGGAAGCCACTGGGCGATGCCGGCTGAAACAGGACTGATACACCCTCTCTCCCTTTGATTGTCCGAGTCTGGAGAAATACAAGGAAGGCTGGGCAGGGAGGAAGTGAGCCTCCCTGTGTCTCTCAGCCCCCCTGGAACTCTCCCGGCCCTCCTCCTGGTGTCGGGGGCGGCCACAAGCTGTAGCTGGGCTGCTGCCCGGGCCGGGCCGGCTCTTTGCCTGCCCATGACTCCTGCCCGCTCTTCACAGACCTCTGACCGCCCCTCCACACAAGAGCTCCTAGCCTAGTGCAGTCCAGGAAGGTCCATGGAACTGTCCCCTGCCCTCCTCAGAGTCGTCTGGCAAGACTGTCCCTGGCCTCACTTCTCCTCCCCATCTAGACTTCACCCATAGTCTTCTGGTATAATGGGTTAGGCCTTTCTACTAGAAAAAGCCAGAGTTGGAACCCAACCCCACCTCTTCCCCACACCTGTTCCCTTACACGGGACAAACCACCATCTTTGGTCTGACCCCTTCTCCCCTAATTGATGGGGACAAGCCAGCCCCAGCTCCCCAGGAGAAGGGAGGGGCTTTCTAGCAGCAAAAAGGGTCCCTCCAGCCACCTACCTGTCCCCTTCCCCCCAGTTCCTTCCTAGAGCCCCTCCCCCTTAACCCAACAAAGTTCATGGCAGCAGCAGGCTGAGACCCGAAGATGTTTGAAAACTCATGGCACTTGTGAGAAAAGAAGGAGGGGCAAAGAGACGGGGAGAGGTCAGAGCAGAGGTGGACGGGCCACCTCTGGGGAAATGGCAATGCAGGGGCTGGGCTAAGGTGGCCTCAGGGCTATGCTACCCCTAGAGTTGAGGGGAGGGGACTGGGGAGGCTGGGCTGACAGGCTGGAGAGGAGGGGCTGAGAGAGGTGCTCAGGAGACATCCCAAGCCTGGAGCTTCCAGGGTCTGGGATTTGGGGTCAACCCCCCCAGCACATGGGTGTCCTGACCCCAGCCCTGGCACCTGGCTTCGTCCTCCCTGCGGGAAGGTGGAGGGTAGGGAAGGTGATCTCTCACCTTTGCCCCTTCCCCCTCCCCCAGACAGAAGACCACGTTGCCACTGCAGCACCCTCCTCAGCCGTACCCATGCCCTCCATAACCCCAGTTCCTCCCCATTTTCCCCCGGCCATCAACCTCTCTAGGTGGGAAATCAGCCCCATTTTCCCCAGCTAGAGTCCCCAAAGCAATATACAAGAAGCAGGAACTCAAAGGGACAGCGCAGCCATCTTGACAAAGCATCTTTGGGTGTGAGGGGGTCTCCCCCGGGCCGATGGGGAGGGAAGGGGGAGACAGGCCTCTGGTCCTGGGGCAGGCAGTGAGGTACACGCCCCAGGAGGGCTGATGATGCTGGGCAGGCAGAGCAGGAAAGGAGGGGACAGAAACGGGTGCCAGGAAGGAAATGGGTTCTTTGTTTCGCTGTTGCATCTAGATTTTGTTTTCTGTCTCTGGATTGTAAAAAGCTGCTCTGGCGGCCCGCCCGCCCCGGCGGGGACTGGGGATGCACGTACACGGAGAAGTCCTGGCTGCCGGGCCGGCAGCGCCGCTCTGCTCCGGAGAAAGCCCAGGTTGGCCCGGGCCGCAGGCTCCCGGTGGCTTCAAGTGATGAGATTTTTTTTGTCTTTTTTTTTTTTTTGTCTTTTTTTTTTTCTTTTCCATTTCGTTGAAATATTTACAGCAATGGGGAAGGAGGAGGAGGAGAGAGGAAGGAGTAAGAGGGCCCCCTAGGGAAAGATCCAAGCCCAGGACCCACTCCCCAGGGAGATCCAGACCCAAAATCTGCTCCCCAGATAGCCGAGCCCACAGGACTGGGAACTGCCCAAATATGGCCACCCCTGTGGGCTGGGGGCCCTGCGGGGAGTTGTGCTTCATCAGGAGTCGCCCCAAGGGAGGGGGTCATTGGGTGCACTGGGAGGCAGAGGGGGCAGGCTTGCTTGGGGGGCAGGGACCAAGAGCAAGGGGAAAGGAGCTTCAGAGAAAGTTCGACCTTTAAACCACCAGCCACCACTGCCCAGTCCCCCTGCCCTGTGGCCTTTTCCCAGTCTCCAGGGAGCAAGGAACTGTAGCGCAGGAGGAACCTGTCCATCTGTCCTGCCTCACTGCTCCCTCTGGGTGCAGCCGGCAGCATTTCTGGCTGCGGAGAGGAGCAGCTGACAGGTTCGATCCAGTGGGGGCCTTTGGCAACCTCAGAAGCTGCCCCTCCCGCCCAGGGAAACTAAAGCCCTCATTTCCCTTCACGGCGTAGAAGGGTGGGAGAGTGGAGAGTCTGGAAGTGGGCTGCACCCTTCCAAGTTCTCCCTCCTCACTCCCCTGGGGACCTCTGGGCTCCTCCTCACTACACTTCCCCCAAATAGAGCTGGTGCATGTGGCTGGTGGGAAACCCTGTCTGTGAACCCTGGCACCTCAGGCCCCCAGGTCAGAGTCCCCTGAGGGGACTGTAGGGCCCATGGCTGAGGGGCACCTGGAGAGAGTGGCCCACCAGCCACTGCCTCCATCTGTCTCCCTCTCCCACCAGAGCCCTGCCCAGGGTTCCCTCCCTGGCCTGGGCCACCAGCCCCTGGTCCATGAGGTCCCCTCAGAGACTGGTGACCAGCTGCATCTGCCCGTCCCCATCGGGCCCTGGCCCCTCAAGGCCTGGGGCTGCCAGGTAGCCCTCGTGGCTAGGACGCCGCACCTGGTAGTAGCCCTGCAGGGGATTCCGGGCCACCAGGGCTGGCGGGCGCGAGGTGTAGTAGATTTCGGGGGGACCAGGGGGTGCGGGAGGGGGTGGGGGCAGGGCCTCACTGGGCCCCTCAGGGCTGCTGTCCGGGTAGGAGGGTGAGTCCCGCAGGTTGGCCCCGCTGGCATAGAGGGAGTCCCGGCCCGGAGGGGAGGAGAGGGGCCGGCTGGTGGCGCCGTCCTCGGCCGTGCAGCTCTCCGACTCGTCCAGATCGCTCTGGTACAGCACCGACTGGGCCCGGGGCAGCAGCAGAGGCTCCTCCAGGGCCTTATAGAGAAGTTCAATCTCAGCCCGGTCAGCACCCCCGGGCCCGCCTGCCTCTTCCTCGCCCCCGCCCCCTGGCACAGGTGGCACGGGGGGCTCAGGCGGTGGAGGGCCCTTGGCCGCGCTGCTGCTCCCCCGCAGGTTGTTGTGCACCAGCTCCGAGATGATCATCTTCTCGAAGGCCGCCGCATCAGCTAGGTTCCGGCCTCGGGGCGGCTCGGGGCCCCCATCCCCGGGAGGGAAATCCCCACTTCGCAAGGAGTAACTGTTGTTGAAGTTGCCGTTCAGGGGCAGGGTGTCCATGCCACAGGCTTCCCGGCCTCCCAAGGGGTGCTCTGCAGGGCAGAAAGGGGCAGGTAAGGTAGAAGAGGGGCCCTGGATGCACTAGGGGTTAGTGAGGGGATGCAGTCTGTGTGAAGTGGGGCTCGATTCCTGCTGGTTTTCCGTAGACTTCCCCCTACCCCCTGGATCTCTGGTCTCACATCCCCTTTCTCCCTCACTGGCAGTAGAGACACCAGCCCAGCAGTGGATTGATGAAAGGTAGGGGACAAGGACCAGTTAGTTCCCCCAGAGTCTCATCCTCAGCTGGAGGCTCAGAATCTCAGCAGTGTGAGGAGGCCTGGGCGACAGGATCCCTTTCCTATGCTCAGACCCTCAGCACCTAACGGCCCAAACTCAATGAACACCATCCATTATCCTCCATTTGGCTGCCAACCAGAGGCTGTGTGTCGGGGGGTGGGGAGATGTGGGCATGGGAAGGGCATCCCGAGTTCTCCTCAAGTGAGGCCATCTGAGAAGGCCACTGTCTGTCCCTCCCCCAGCCTCAGAAACATCCCCAGGGAAGAGTCACACTTACTGGGTTCCCGGTAGCTCCCTGCAGGTGGCAGCCAGGAGAGAAAAGAGAAGGCGAGGGTGAGCTTGAAATGCAAGTCCAGGCTCCAGTTCTGGGGCACAGAACATCCCAGGCGGAGGTCCCTTGGGACACAAACCCTCCATTTCCCAACCTGGGATGCTTCCCCCGCGCTCTCACCTGGGGAGTTGAAGACCGGGGGCGAGGAGGGATTGAAGCCCACCGACTCGGCAATGAGGGTGTTGTAGGGGCTGGTGCCCCCACGGGGCTGCAGCACAGGGTTGGTCAGCAGGTGGTTCCCCATGGTACCTGGCCAAGGGATCAGAGGTCACAAGGCGGCCGGGAGCCTCTAGAGACCGGCGCCAGAGGCAGAGGGACGCCTTCTCACCTCGATTCAGGGTTGGGGTGCTGTTGATGTCACCCGCCATGAAAGAGGACTCCGTCTGTTTCCTCACAGTGTCATTCCACATCCTCCGAATTCGACTCTGGGGACACAACCCAGATGTGAGGGGGTCCTTGGGCCACCCACCCTCTGGCGTCTTTTTGTGACTGCTCAGCCAATCATCACGATCAGAAACCCAGGCCAAGCCACTCCCCGCCTCTCAAGCTCTAGGTTCCAACACTCAGCCCCAGGGAGCCCTGTCTGGCCTGATACCTGAGTCCCTGTGTAATAGCGGGTGTTGCTTCGCATGGCTGAGGTCTTGAGGGATCCGTGAGTGCCCCCGGGAGGGGAGCGGATGCAGCAGTAGGAGTGACGCAGGCACTTGCTGTACTCCTTGTGCACCTGGGGGTTGAGGAGGACAGTCAGCTGGTCGGGACGCTGGCCTCCTCTGTGATCCAGCCTACCACAAGGCTGGTCACAAGACAGCCAGCCTTGGGAGGCCAGAGATCGAGCTTCCAATGACTATGTTGCCCTGTTCAGCAACTTGCAAGCCATGGAAATCTTGCTGTCCCCTGTCCCCCAACAGCCAGCCGATCAGGTTTCAATCTCTTCTTACTCAGGCCCATCCTCTTCTCCACCTCCACTGACAGTTTTTCATTCATTCATAAAATCAACAGAGCATTAATGAGCATTCGCTATGTGCCAGGCACAATTTAGGCCTCAGGGATGGTACGGAAGACAACAGACACAAATCCGTACCTCTGAGAGCTTACATTTCGGTAGACAGAGACAGAACATAGATGAATATATAAATATGCAGGCTGTTGGATGGTGTTACGTGCTGCGGAGAAAACTATGGCTGGAAAGGGGGTTAGGCAGTGCTGACTTGGGAGCGGGTTGTGAATTTTTTTTTTTTTTTTGAGACGGAATCTCGCACTGTCACCCTGACTGGAGTGCAATGACGCGATCTTGGCACATTTCAACCTCCACCTCCTGGGTTCACGCGATTCTCCTGCCTCAGCCTCCCGAGTAGCTGGGATTACAGACGCACACCACCACACCCGGTTTTTTTTTTTTTTTTTTTTTGTAGAGACAGGGTTTTACCATGTTGGCCAAACTGGTTGTGATTTTAAATAGACCAGAGGAGGCCAGGCATGGTGGCTCACACCTGTAATCCCAGCACTCTGAAAGGCAGAGGTGGGTGGATCACCTGAGGTTAGGGGTTCAAGACCAGCCTAGGCAACATGGTGAAACCCCATCTCTACTAAAAATACAAAAATTAGCTGGTCGTGGCGGTGGGCATCTGTAATCCCAGCTACTTGGCATGATAACTGCTTGAACCCACGAGGCGGAGGTTGCAGCGAACCGAGATTGCGCCATTGCACTCCAGCCTGGGGACCAAACGAGACTCTGTCTCAAAAAAAATAATTAAAAAATTTAAAAACCTAAAAAACTCAATAGATCAGAGGCCTCATTTAGGCCAACGTAAGAACAGGGGCTGCACTCTGAGGAGGGTCCACATCTAGGTGTCTGAGAGCGGAGGTTGGAGGGAGGGGAGCTGAGGGGCCCAGATCAGAACATAGGGGCCTGGGGTCCCCTGAAAGGACATCGCTGTCACTGCGTGTGAGGTGGGGGCCACGCAGACACTGTCTTTGACCATCTGTCTGAGGAGGGGCCGGGACAGTGTTGGACAGATGGACAGAGCAGGGACACAGGCCACCTCCTCCCTTGCAACCAGGATTCTCATGATCACTGCCTCCGCCATCCCCTGCCTTAAGCCTTACCCGCTTCACCATTCCCCAAGTCTAACAGCAGTCTCCATCGCCCGCACTGCTGCCAGGGCTGACTCTACAAATGCCTCAGCTCCGTCTCCCCAGCTTCAGTCCTGACAGTGCTGCCTGTACCCCCCACTCCCTGCCCACATTCCCCGGCTACTGTTGTCCCCTTTGTTTTTTTTTTAAATAGAGACAGGGTCTCTGTTGCCCAGGCTGGTCTCGAATTCCTGGGCTTAAGCGATCCTCCTGCCTCAGCCTCCCAAAGTGCTGGGATTACAGGCATGAGCCACTGTACCCAGTCCTTTTTTTTTTTTTTTTTTCTTTGAGACAGAGTCTTACCCTGTTGCCCAGGCTGGAATGCAGTGGCATAATCTCGGCTCACTGCAACCTCCGCCTTCCGGGTTAAAGCGATTCTCCTGCCTCAGCCTCCCAAGTAGCTGGGACTACAGGCGCCTGCTACCATGCCCGGCTAATTTTTATATTTTTAAAGTAGAGACAGGGTTTCACCATGTTGGCCAGGCTGGTCTGGAACTCCTGACCTCAGGTGATCCACCCGCCTCAGCCTCCCAAAGTGTTGGGATTATAGGCGTGAGCCACCGCGTCTGGCCTGTATGTTTTCTTAAGATTCAGATTTTAACACATTTATTTGAAAAAGATCCTTTCTGTCACCACAAAATTCATAATTATTTCCTGAACTATGAATGCAGGCAGTGCTCCCTCAGGGTGGCTCCCGAAGTCCTCCCCCTCCCAGGCCTGACTCGTGGCCCTCATGGTGGTGAGGCTTCCCCATCACCAAATCTGTCCTGCTCTCACTCCTCTAAGCTGCTGTATCTTGCTTTTTTCCAGAACCCTCTTCACCTGTGGTTAAACCCTCCCTAGCCCTGAGCTCGTGCTCCCCTCCCCGTGGACGCAGACCTGACCGTAGAAGCCCTGCAGCACTCACTGGGGGCTTGAGGGAGCCCCTGAGTCTCCTCCACCCTCGCTGCCTTTTCCGGGATGCCCAGGAAATGTCTCCAAGGGAGGCTGTGACCCAGGACCCCGCCTCGACCTCACCTTCTTCTGTAAGGCGCAGTGAAAGACGAAGATGAAGACCCCCTGGAAGGCGTTGAAGGTGGTGAAGAGATAGGCCATGACCACCGACTCCTTGTTGATGAAGAGGAGGCCGAAAGCCCAGGTGAGGCCCAGCAGGAACAGCAGCGCAATGGCCCCCAGAGCCCAGGATCTGGGGGTGGGGCGACAGAGGTGTCAAAGTACCCACCGGAGGGGACGGCCTCAGCCCGGGCCTCCCCTGCAGCCTACAAAGGGGCCCTTGGGTGGGCCTGGGCACTGTCTGCAAAGCCCTGAGCAGGCTGAGTGGGCCTTAGGGGCACTGGCCTGCCCAGGATGCCTCCACCCCAGCCTGGGCCTGAGGGAAAGGTACTGGGTCGGGGTCGGGGTATTGTGAACATCAGTCATTCCTCTGCCACCTTCATTGTTTCTGCCAAATTTCCAGACCACTGAGGCTACATTTGCTGCCTATTTCTCTTTAAGTTGCCCTTAAACACACTCACCTGTTGAATTTAGCCTCACCCTACACAGTCATGCCTCTAAAACCACAGGTTGGACGTGCTAATGATACACTTTCTAAGACCCATTAAGTAGGCACATAGTGACCACAATAAAACACCCCTCTTGGTACTTAAAATCGCAATATGTGTCACCAGAGGTGACAGCACTACCTTTTAGGACACCCTGGAGGAGGTGGGCCCCGCGCGGGGTGGGGGTGTGTCATGGGGCAGGGGGCAGGCAGGGGTGAGGCTCACTTAATGTTGTCCAGGCGGCTGGAGTCAGGCTTGAGCACAGATGAGCTTCGGATCATCTTGTGCAGGGTCACCATGAGGAACACCAGGTTGACCTGGGGGCGGGACAAGGGACAGGCTAGGCTGAGAGTGGCCCTGCCTCCCTCAGTGAGCACTGAGACATGGGCCCGGCCTGGTGAAGTCTCAGCTGTGGCCCTCGCCTCTGCTGGGAGAACCCTGTATCTGCCCCTGAGGTGACAGTGAGCTGACTGACATGACTGGCAACTGAATGCCACTCCTGGCTGCTGGGAGGTCAAGGCCCATGGCCTGACATACAGTAGGGGCTCAAATCACAGTCCCCCAGGCGAGTAGCCCTCAGCATCGGAGCTCCATGAACCCAGCACACTCTCATCCTCTCAGCTGGTGGCTCAGTTCCGATGTGGGGTGTGTGTGTGTGTGTGTGTGTGTGTGTGTGTGTGTGTGTGTACACTCTCATCCTCTCAGCTGGTGGCTCAGTTCCGATGTGTGTGTGTACACTCTCATCTCAGCTGGTGGCTCAGTTCCGATGTGGGGTGTGTGTGTGTGTGTGTGTGTGTGTGTGCACACTCTCATCCTCTCAGCTGGTGGCTCAGTTCCGATGTGGGGAGTGTGTGTGTGTGTGTGTGTGTGTGTGTGTGTGTGGTGGGGGCAGGGGCTGGAGTCAAGGCCAGCCTGGATGAAGGAAGATGTGGTGCTAGGGGTGTCACCTCCCAACTCACCACGATAACGAAGGAGACGGGCCCGATGAAACTCCAGATGAAGTAATTGTCCACTCGGAGCCAGCAGCTGTAAAGGAAACAGGGCCGGGGTATAGAGAGAAGCCGAGGAGCCATTCCCAGCGACCCATGAAGACCTAGGACTCTGCAGGCTACAGCCTCTGGGATCAGGAGGAAGGGAGGCCACCGCCCTGAGGGTCCTTTCCCAAGGGGTGCCGCCCAGCAGGGAACCATGCGGGAGGAACCGGTGCAGGGCTGGGATGTGGAAACTCACGCCTTCTCGGTGCCATAGCTGCGGTAGTCAATGGCAGCCGCGATGCCCACCACCAGAGCCGGGAAGCAGTAGCCGCCCAGGTAGTAGTACTTGGTGCGGGAATACTCGCTCTCAAACACCTCCACCAGCAGCAGGTAGAGGTGCACGCCCTCCAGGCACAGCCAGGAGAAGGCGGCCAGGAAGAAGTAGTGCAGCAGGCCGGCGAAGATGGGGCAGGCAATCTGCAGGGAGCACCGAGGGTGAGGGGCTCGGGCAGGCGTCCCCTTTCCTCTCGCGGCCCCCCAGGCGCTGGCCGTCACCTGCCCTCGAGTCCCAGCCCACCTCATACTGAGTCTTGTCGATCCCGACCAGGAAAAGCAGCTCAGCCAGGAAGAGGTTGATGCACAGGTTCTTGTGGATGGTGTTGCGGTCAGTCTGCAGCCCCCGCAGAAAGCAGAAGGTGGAGATGCAGATGGCCAGGCAGACCAGGGAGATCACGATGCCCACCCAGGTGATGACCGACAGCAGCAGCTCGTTGATGCGGCCCTGGTACTGGGGACAGGAGCAGGGGGCACGCTCAGGGCCTTTGGTTTTGCACACTGGGCTCAGCCAGGTGCCAGCTGCAGACAGGGCCCTGGGCAAGGCCATGGGCCACGAGGACTTCTGGTGCCGCCAATCTGGCAGGCCCCACCCCTCTGCACGCAGCAATGTGCTCACTTCCTCATGCTCTGGAAGGCTTGTGGAGAGATGACTAACGTGACACCAACTTGATTCTCCAGAGTGCCTTGGGAGACGGTGGGACCATGGCCATAGATGACCAGAGAGAACCAGATGCATGGCCTCATGCCCCAGGCAAGACTAGGAGCCCCCCACAGCCATGAGGCCGGCCTCCCCAGCACTGCCCATGATCTCTCTAGGATGCCATGCAAAGCCAGGCCAGCAAGCGGGCCTGCCCGGAGGAGCAGAGCGCCAGCCAGCTTACGATCTCGCGGTGAGCCATGAGCACGGCAAAGTTGGTGAGGTGGCTGCAGGCACACGTGGTATGGGTCTTGTTGGACTCCACCAGGCGGCAGCCCTGGGTCGACCAGTAGCCCAGCATGGAACGCTCCGAGTAGTTCCAGAAGGAGCAGTTGGCATTGAAGTGGTTCTTGTCCTGTTGTGTGGTGGCGCCGGGGTGTCAGAACTGGAGTCAGAACCGGGGAATCCCATTCCGGCCCCCCACACCTGGCTACAGGGATGGTGCCAAGTATCAAAGAAGTGCCTGGAGTCTGGGGCTCCAGCTGACATTGTAAGAGCTCTGGGGACAAATGGCCCAAGCTACTGAAGTGGAAGAACCCATAACTTGTTCTCGAAGTGAGCACATGGTGGAGGGGCAGGTACACAGCTTGGGAACACAGAAGGTACAGGGACCCCCATGGAGGGAGAAGGACAGCTCAGCTCACCTCCAGGTGGGCCACAGTGAAGATGACAGGGTCCATGAGGAAGACACGGCTGGACTCCTTGTTGATGGATGCTGCGATGACCTGTGAGTTCACCACTAGAGAGGCGCCCCCAGGGCCACCCGGGCCTGCTTCGCCGGCCAGCTTGACTGTGGCATTCTCCGTGGACAGGAAGAGGCCCAGGTTGTTGTAGAGGATGAAGACAACTTTGACCACCCCTGGCGAGGACAGGCACGTTTGGATGTGTCAGCATCCTCAGCTGGCGCACCTCTGTCCAGGCCCCTGGCTTCCCAGCTCGGCCAGCTCCTCAGCCCTCGGCCATGCCGGCCACTGGGACCTCTGAAGCCACTCCATAGCCCAGGCAGGTGGGGGGCAGGGAGCCCTGTCCACAAGACCACTGCTCAGCCGAAGGCAGTTCGAAACAGCAGGGCAGTGTGCCAGGACACATGGCCTGGGCCTCCGACCCACCCATTCTCACTGTGTGACCTTGGGCAAGCCCCTGACCTCTCTGAACCTTTGTCTCAGTGGCCCCATCCTGTCTGAGCTGTGAGGCCCAGGAGCCAGCTTTGCAACTGTAAGGCTCACCCTTGGGGCTCTGCAGCACTTCAGGGAACCCATGAATCCCCTCAAATTTTACACTAGCAGGAGGAAAGTTCAGGACTGCTGCCCTCCACAAATGGCACAGAGATGCTGGCACAGGGCTAGGGGGCGGGGAGGGGGCTGCCTCCCAACCCGAGGCCCCGCCAGGGACACTGACCATTGCGGCTGTTCTGCTTGATGGTTTTGGCAGACAGCTGGATGGAGTTCTTTCTTGGGTACTCCTCCTGGGGGAACACCAGCTCCTGCACCTGGCCCTCTGTGTTCAGGACTGTGACTTCCAGGACTGTGGGGACAGGGGAAGGCAAGGCACACGCAGTTGGGGTCTGTTCCCAGTCCAGGGGCTCAGGCTACAGAACAAGACCCTGTGGCAAGACGCCCAAGCGTCGGGTAGCTCCTCTGCGGCCTCCAGGCCAGAACCCCATGGTTTAAGGTTCGTATCTGAGTTTGCTCTGGGTGACCGTGGCACTCACCCACGTTCTCCTTGGCAGCCAGGAAGCGGGCAGGCTCCCTGACGTTGTCGGCCAGCAGGAAGGCACCCTCCTCCAGGACGTCCAGGAGCATGGTGGCCGTGTGCACCTGCTCCGTGGCATTCATGTCCTTCCAGGACTCCAGAGCTTCTGGCCGGAGCAGATTGTCCACTGTCTCCACCACGGCCTGCGCAGGCAGGGGGGATGGTGCTGTGAGCCCCTCAACACCCTCTAATTCCTTGGGGTGGGCTCTGCATGCCCTCTTCTCAACCTATACCCCTATTCTCCCGTCAGCCGGAGCCCACGGTCCTTACACTGGGACCCCTTGGGTCTCACCTTGATATAATCCTTGCAAGTTCTCTCCCGCTTGTGCATCTAGAAAGAGATGGAGGTGATGTCAGGCCAGACCTCTGGACGCCAGTTCCCTCACCCCAGTACTGTCACATCTGTATAGCTCTCTCATCTGTGGCTACCACTGCCCCAGGGCTGGACTATCAGCAAGACATTCCGTAGGGATCCCCAACACCCAGGACCGTCTGAGGCAGCACAGGAGTGAGACCCAGCAGTCCTTGGGCGGGGGGGTCCTTCCTCTCTGAGGAAGGGAGTGGAGGTGGCAGTCTGGCTGGGAGGTACCAGATTGGATACTTCCTGTGCCCTTGGGGGCAGGCGCCTTCCCCGCGCCAGGTCAGCGTCGCCACCAGGCCCCACCTTGTTGTAGTTCTTTCCAGCTGACTCGCGCTCGATGGGCCGCAGGGCCTGCAGCTGGGCGTCCAGAATGTCCAGCAGCTGCTCCATCAGCTTCACAGAGGAGGAGACGTCCCCCGCGTAGATGGAGCCCCGGGTGTGTCGGGCCAGCTCGCTGGCGATGTTGGCTGCGTTCTCCCCACTCTTAATCTGTATGAGGTGGGGGGCAGGGAGGGGAAATCCCAGGTCTGTCAGGGACCATCCTGCCCTCCCCAGCTTCCCTGGCCCGTGCAGCCTCTCCTCTTTCTCTCTCCACTTCCCCATCACCGTCTGCCCTTTCCCACCCCATCTGTCCCTGCTCCCTTTGTAGGCCAGAGAGGTGACCCCGCAGTCCTGCCTTCCAGACCTGCCAGCCCGAGTCTCCCCAGTTGCTCCACGACCCCCGCTGGGCCCTGGGCCCTGGGCCTGAGCACATGTGCCTGCCTGCGAGGGGTGGTGGCTGGTACCTTCTGGGCCACCTGGTTGACCCAGGGGGAGGTGCAGTTGCTGAGGTCAGGGCCCCGGGGGTTCCAGAGCCCCAAGGCTGGTAGACACTGGAAGGAGGCAATTCCTGCAGGGACAGACAGACAGAAACAGACAAGGGAGCCAAAGGGAAGAAGAGAAGGATGGGACGGAGAGGGGGAAAGGAGATGACAGAGAGCGGGGGACGAGCGGGCGAAGAGGGAGGTGAGGGAAACACGGAGAAACAGACATGAAGCGGGCCGGACAGTTGAAAGAGGCGCCACTCCCTTCGCCTGAGCTCTCCCTCCTGCCCCCTTCTGTCTTTGCCTCCAGAATCAGACCCTTCCAGCAAGGCCCATCTTGAACGCCCCCTCTCCACAAAGCACCTGCCAACCCTCCCCTCAGATCTCCAGGACACGCGGCCCTGCCCTTTTCGCACTTCAGCTGGCCACCCAGGTGAAACTGGCTGTGCCTGGGGCAGTCTCAGGTCCGTCTGAGGCTGGGAGCCAGGTCGCCTTCTGCAGGCTCCCTGCAGGTTCCGCAGGCCGGGCCAGGGGCACTGAGTGGCTTCTGTGCCCTGAGAGTTCTGCTGGTCACTGGGGATGACCCCTGCCCTCAGAAAGCCTCTGCTTCGCAGCAGAGACCACCACCCACACGTGCATCTGTGCTAAGCTGCGGGGGGCATGGCCCCCATCCCTCCCCTGGCCGCAGCCTCTGTACTCACCTCGAGTCCCCTTGGGGCAGGGTCTCTCCACCAGCATGCCCTGCTGGGTGGCCGGCCACTGGACCCGCCGCACCTCTCGGGGCTCGCAGAAGAGCTCAGGGGACACGTGTAGATTCGGGGCTGGGGGCCGCCGGGTGCTGGGGGCTGGGGCTGTGGCTGGAGGCAGATCAGGTCCCAGCTGGTTGATGGCACCCACTGGGTGCGTGGTGAGGGGTGCCCGGCGGAGCGGGGTGGTGGCTGCGGGCGAGGCTGTGCTGGTGAGGGGCGTGGGCCTGGCTGTGGTGGTCGTGCTGAGGGGTGGGGAAGTGGCTGGGCCTGGAGAGGGGATATGAGACAGGGTCATCCCCGTGCTCGGGGCCATGCCACAGCGTGCCTGGGCAGCGGGCCCCAGGCCATCCTAGCATCTTCCTCACCTACTCAAGTGGAAACACATGCTGGGCCCTGCTGGGTCTGGGAGTTGATCTCCCCTGGCCTCTCCGTGCCCACCAAAGTCCCTTATGCCCATGGGACCATATGAAGTAGCAAAGGGTGGTAAAAATCCACTATGTATTCCGTAAGGTCTGAGAGAACAGTCAGGAGAGGCAGGGACAGAGGTGTCTGGGGGACAGGAGCCCTCCCCGATCCAGGTCCGCCCCGCCACCAGGCAGGGGCTGAATACCACCGCCTCCCACCCTCCTTCTAGCTGACTTTGGTTTATGTAACCTGGCTATGCTCCTTCCTTCTGGGGGCCTCAGCTCCCCCTTTTGCAAACAAGATGGGGTTAGATCAGGCTTCCTGGAGCCCTGGGGCGGCACAGAGCTAGCAGGGCAGCTAAGGGGGGTAAAAGAAGACTGCAGAGTTGCCCTCAGCCCGGTCAACATCAGCAACTCAGCTCTTTTGTGGATATTGGACTTCCACCCAGGATTTTGGTGGATCCAAGGGTTCCTGGAGTAAAGGTGCCCAAGCCCCAGGGAGAGGCAGTACAGTTCAGTGGTTGGGAGGCTGGCTTGAAATCCTCAAATAGGCCGGGCGCGGTGGCTCAAGCCTGTAATCCCAGCACTTTGGGAGGCCGAGACGGGCGGATCACGAGGTCAGGAGATCGAGACCATCCTGGCTAACAAGGTGAAACCCCATCTCAACTAAAAAATACAAAAAAATAACTAGCCGGGCGAGGTGGCGGGCGCCTGTAGTCCCAGCTACTCGGGAGGCTGAGGCAGGAGAATGACGTAAACCCGGGAGGCGGAGCTTGCAGTGAGCTGAGATCCGGCCACTGCATCCCAGCCTGGGCGACAGAGCGAGACTCCCTCTCAAAAAAAAAAAAAAAAAAAAAGAAATCCTCAAATAACTTAATCCCCTACCCATACAGTGCCTCAGTGTACTCATCTGTAAAACAGGGCAGTAAGGATCCCTATCATAGACCATGAGGAGGAGATGAGTTAATGACTGTGAAGTACTTAGAACAGCGTCTGTCACGTGCTGTGAATTTCCTTTACCTCCCGATCCCCAAGAGCTCACAGGATGGGGCTCCCCACCCTGGGACCCACGGGTGGGTGGGGGTGGAAGGGACAAAGGCAAGCGGGCTCCATGCCTGGAAGTGAGTCGTCCTCACCAGCACTGGGGTCGGGCGGCCCGAACTCCAGGCTGTAGCGCACGACGAAATAGTTGTTCCAGACATACAGCTGGTTGTCACGAGGGTTGTAGTCAACGGAGGAGATGAACTGGTAGGGGTTGGGGAAGGCGAGGCTGACAGGCTCCTCGCGGTTGGCATTGGTGTTGAAGGCATAGTCCACGCGGTTGCCAGCCGCCTCGCTGTCATCATCCACGTACACGGAACGCAGCACGTACAGGACCCCGCACACCATGAAGGCGTTGGACGCCGACCGCTTGTCGTAACCCGTCTCCCACGTGCCCTCGAAGCGTAGTGTGTAGGGGTTCAGCTGGCTCACCACCAGCCGCCCGTTGTTGCCCTCGGTGGCGTAGATGACCCACAGCCCATTCTCGTCCACCGCCAGGTCAATGTCGGTCTTGCCGCCCCAGCGGTAGGGCGAGGTATCGTGGTAGTTGGCGGTATTGATGACCGTCTCCCCGCTCTTGATGCGCGTCCGCAGGTCATACTTGACGATGTTGCGCGTGCGCTCCTTGTTGTAGAAGACGGCACCATCATAGACCACAAAGCCTGTGCCATCCACGCGGTTGGGCAGGCGGTAGGTGGTGGTGTGGCGGGCGGCCACGTAGTCCTCCCACGAGGCGTACTCGGTCAGCGTGTCCGTGCGGTAGGGGATCCAGGGCATCACGTAGATGCGGTCACCTGCCTGCAGCGGGTCCTTGCACCACGCGCCAGACTGGTGCTCCGACTCGTGTGTCGAGGTGGGCTCCAGCACCTTCTGCAGGGTCCCTGGGCACACGAAGACTGGGCAGAGCGGGCAGGAGGGGAGGAGACGGGAGAGGAGGGGCAGAGGCGAGAGGGAGGAGAAAGAGAGAGAAGGGGGAGAGAGGCAAGTTGGTCACGCTGCCGGCGGGGAGTCAGGTTGTCCCCTCCTGCTGCTGCAGTCACGGTTGCTTGGTAGGGCTGGTGATGGGAAGGGGGTTTCCGGGCTGGGACCCGACCCCCCTCCCCACGCCCTGCCCAGCTGCCCCTCTCCCTGGAAATGTGAGCCCTGAAGGCCATTAAGAGCAGGGTTAGTGGGGGGAAGTGGTGCCCCTCTTCCCTTCCCTGGCTGCTAGAGACCCCACAGGCTGGGGAGAAGGAGTTGGCAAGAGCCCTCCCAGAGGTGGTCCCGTGTGATTTAAGTGGGGGCAGAATCTCCCCACTACAGTCACTCCTGACTTTGACGGTCCAGGGACTTAGCATCCGGCCCCTTCTCCCTCTTCTCTGCCACTTAGGGAAGAGCTAGGGTCCAGGGTCCCATCCTTCACCAACCACACCCGGAGAGACTTTTTTTTTTTTTTTTTTTTAAACTCCACTTTCTTCCTCCTGCAAAAACTGCAACGTAGAGTCACGTTCCCATACCCACTGTGGGTGTCAGGAGTGTCCCCCTATTCTAGGCTGGGGGAAGGATAGGGGTTTCAACTCTCTCCCCAGGTTCCTGATGCAGCCTGTGCCCCACCCCCACCCGGTACCCACGAAGTCAGTAGCCGAGGAAGGGATTCCCAGAGGCAGCTCCCAGGCTAGGACAGGGAACGGAGAGTCTGGCCCCTCCTGGAGGGCGCCCAGCCCTGCCCCCAGCCGGCAGGGTCTCTCATGGGGTCTGGCTCAGCAGCAGACAGTGGCACTGTGCACAGGGGTGGGGGTGGGAGTGGGGACATGGAGAGGGACAGGACTCCCGGGAGAGGTGGGGAGGGAGCGGAGAGCTGTGCAGAGGGAAGAGAGACAAGGGGGTATGGGGGCTTGGCGAGGTCCTGGCTCCGTGGGAGGCCGCGCTGCAGACCACCTGGGAAGAAAGGGTTAGTGCTGGCGGAGGAGAGAGGGGTGAGCAGAGAATTCACTCCAAGGCCCAGGCCCGACTGAGGGTCCCTCAGAGGGGCAGTCCCAGGTCCAGCTCGGAGGGGGCAGGGGAGGGAACCAGGCGCTAGGATAAAGACCCAGCCCGCCCCAGCCAGGCCCCCCACCTCCCCTGGCCCGGACCCCGATTTACCTGCGACCATCCCCGGCTCGGGAGGAGGGACCAAGGCAGCGCTGATGTCAGAAAGGTGGGGGGCCCCGCCCCACCCCCCCAATCCCTGAAAAGGAGGAAAACCTCAACTGCATCTCGTTGGCCGCTGCTGGCCGGCCCACCCTTGCCCAGTCACGTCCCAGCGCCACCTACTCCTAGCCTCCCCTTGACTGATCCTGGGGTCAGTGTGGCCAGACCCCCCACCTCCTCCCAGAGTGCCGACATCCATGCGCCCCTCCATCCAGGATGGCCGGGCCTCCCTCACCTCCCGGCTGGCAGAACCCACACACAGGCCGGGGCGAGGGCACGGGGCGAGGGCGGAGGGTTTGCAGTGAATTCTCTGCTCCTGCTTGGCCTGTCACCAAAGCAGCTGGCCCCAATGGGACCGGGGGGCGGCTGGGACCTGGCACCGGCTTGGGGGGCAGCCCCAGTGGCAAGAGGGGCTCGGGCAAGAGCTAGTCCTCATTCCCCACCTTCAGCAGGCTTGGGAGGGAGGGGGACAGGCAGCACTCCCTTCACAGCGTGGGGACAATGTGGCTCAGGGCCCCCGGCACAAAGCAGCCAGGAGGATGTAGTTTTGTAGAGGGAGAGAAGCCTGGGACATAGAGCTGGCCAGGAGCCAGAACGACCCTGGCTTGGGCCCTGGGGACTGGCCATCTCCCTGTCCCTGATGCCCTGAGGGGGTCAGCCTGCACACTCCGTCCAGCACACTGGCTCTGCCCAAGCCGGTCCCCACCCCCGCCAGGTGTGTGGCATCTGAGGGGACATGTTTGTGTGAGGGGGATGGTGGGAGGCCTCAGAGCCTAACCTGCTCAGAGGGTATCAGGGGAGGAAAAATGTGGTTAGAGGTCAACCCAGGGGAAGGGGGAGAAGATGAGGAAGGGTCTGTCTGGGGCCTTGGACAGCAAGGACCTTTCACCAGCACCAAGCTCCCAATCCCTCCTCTTCCCTCCCTTACCCCATCACCCCACCCGCCCTGCCCTGGCCCTCGAAGAGAAAAGCTCCAGTGGTGCCGCATCCAAACCAGTGGGCCTGCAAGAAGAGTGGCTGGTGCTGGGAGGGAGAGAGACTCCAGGAGAGAGAGAGGAGAGTGGAGGGGTGCAGTGAGGGGGCGGACCTCGGGCCAACAGCCCAGGCCTCTCTGAGATGGGGGAGAGGGGAAGACGGGGAGGGGAGCAGCTCAGAGGGGCCCTGCCCCACCTCCTTCGGAAGGGATGCTCCACAGACCACTGTAATTTCAAGGCAAAAGGGATCCCTAAAGGCCATTCCTCCAGCCCCGCCCGCTGCTGCCAGCCTCAAATGGGTAATTTCCCAAAACTTTCAGGGGAGGAAATGGTCATCCCTAACGTCTCACCCTAGAAGCCCCTCAGCAGCAGCACCTCCGCCCCACCAGTAACGGACAGCCCCATCCACTAGGGAGTTCTCTGCCAGAAATTACAGAGTCTGTGGAAGTCCCCAGACTGTGCCCCCCCCGCCCGCCGCCCCTCTCCCTGGTCCTCTAACCACAACAGCCCAGAAGAAACCCTGACTGCAGCTTTGCAAGTGTGAAAGAAACAGAGAACACGCTCCCCCACCCTTCGCTCCCCCAACCATGAGGCCCGCCCCCGCCCCCTCGCCCTCATTTTTTCATTTTTTGGCAGGCTGCCCCCTCCCAGGGCTGGGGACAGCTGACACCCCTCCCCAGGGCTGGGCCCCCAGCTGGTCAGAGATGGGATCGGGTTGGGGGTGGGGAGGACTGGTGCTCCGTGCTCCAAAACAGCTCTGGGCCTTGGAAACGTCAAACCAGAAGGAACTTAAGCCACCAGGAGCCCGAGACAGAGGAGGAATCTGCTCCCCAAAAGGAAAACAATGGTGTCCCCTCCAGCCCGCCTCCCCTGAACCAGAAACATGTTATAAAAGGTGCAGGTGAAGGAGGAAGAGAGAGGGGAGAGACAGAGAGAGAGAGACAGAGAGAGAGAGAGAGAGAGAGAGACAGCTCACCCGGTGCCCCAGTGGGGGAGCCGGGGAAGGGAGTCCCTCCCTCCCCACCCGCCCTGGATGCTTATACACTTCTCCTGAAGGAGGCAAAAGTAGTATGAGAGAAGGCCAGGTCCCCTGAAAGGGCCAGGGACCGGGAAGGAGGGACAGAGAGAGACAGAAACAGCGAGAGAGAGAAATTCTGCCCAAGCTCAGAGAAGAGCTTCCGTGGGTATCTGGAGGGTGGAGATGCCCGTGGCCGCACCAGGGCTGGCCCCGCTGGGAGGACAACCCGGGGTTGGGGATACCGACCGGACCGAGTGTGGGTGGGGGAGAGAAGAAGGGGCCGGGAGGGAGGGCAGGTCACATAAGTATGGTACAGGTAGAACAAAGTGTGAGTTAGGGGTTAGCATTGGTAACAGTGCGTTTACCTTTCTGCTCCACTTCTACTTTAAGCATCGGAAGAGAGAGAGAAAACAAATTGAAAAAAAAAATGTGCAAGAAAAAAAGAGAAAAAAAAAAAAGAGATTAAATTGCTTTCGTTTCTTTTCTGGCAACACGCCCCCTTTTCCTTTCCTTCCTTGCTCCTGCTTCCCCAACCCCTTCCGTAGCATCAGCTTGGGCCCCCGCCCCCAGGTCCCTTCCTCTGGGGGTGGTCAGGTGGGGTGAGAGGGTGCCAGGGAGACAGTCAGAGGGATGAGGGGGACACACACGGGAGGGAAAAGACACAGACACAGGTGTGGTAGGGGGGTACAGGCAGGCAGGCGGACAGAGCCCTCAGGTGGCGGGGGCACCCTTGGTGCAGAGGGGGCAGGGAGTGGGGAGCCCCAGCTGGGAGGTGGGCTCCGGTCAGAGGGGGCACCAGGGAGTGGTGAGGTGGAGGAGCCACTCGGCTCCCTTCCCACCCTGCCTGCTGCCCTCCTGCTAGAACCAGGGGCCCCAGGGGAAGGGGTTCAGTGTCTCCCAGGGCCTGGGCCCACCCTCAGCCGAGAAACAGGCTGAACTCCTTCCCCTTTGTGCTGGCCTCACCCAGGTCCAGCTGACTTCCCCCAAGCCCTCACAACCCAGAAGAAGCCAACACAGAGAGAAGGAGGCAGAGCCAGACACAGAACGACAGAGAGGCAGACAGGCAGTTGCACCCGGACCCCAGAGAGAGCCAGGGTCGGGGAGACGGAGGCAGAGAGGTGGCGGGGGTGGGGGACACAGACTGGGTGGGACAGCAGGTGGGGGCACAGACACGCTCCCAGGCTCCCCAGGGGCAAGCCTGAGGTTCGGCTTCTCTGCTTAACCCACCCAGGGCCCAGGGGCCCAGGAGATGGGAGCTCCGCCCTGCCCGCTGCCCTGCGGACGGGTGGCACCTAGGGGAGGAAGGGGCACGGTTAGACTGTGCTCAGCTGCAAAGCAAATCCAGCATTAGTCGGGCTTGTCCAGTGTGTGGGCGGGTTCCCACACATCACATGCCCCCTGCCACCCACCCCTGACCCACCCTCACCAGCACTTGGGGTCACCCCAGCCTCTGAAGCCCTGGGCCAGGTGGCTGCCCAGGCCGCTCCCCTCTGCATCCCTGGCCCCTCAGGAACTTCTGACCAGAGGGACTGGCTCTCCTGGCCCCTCTCTGAAGCTTCCAGCACGGAGCTCCACAGGGTCAGCCTCTGGCTCCCTTCCCAGCGCCTCACCCAGGGCCTGGCACTCAGGAGATGCTCAGCGAACATTTGGGAGACGAGTGCCTGGCCTCCCTGTCCTCTAGCTATCTGCTGTCCCCCTTTTTAACTCCAGCCTCCTTCCTCTGGAGGATCAGGAGTTAGCTCTGCCCCCAACATCCACCCCGTATGTATGCACACACGTGTGTGTACATGCGTGTTTGTGTGTGCGCGTGTGTGTCGCCTGTCTCCCCAAGGGCTCAGGCTATCTCTCTTCCATCAGACAGGCGGCTGTCCATCCTCTGAACTGTCCTGCCCTCTGTCCCCGGAGCCCGCCTGTTCTCTGTCGGTTGTGGCCCCTGGACCACACTCAGGGCCTCGGCTTCAGGTCTCTCAGCTCCTCTCCTCCCCTAGCTTCTTTCCTGCCACTTGATCTGAGCCTCTCGTCTACTTGCTTTGGCTTCCACTTGGACCAGGGAGTTTTTCCTGCCCTTTATCTCACCGGCCTCGGGAGAAGTTGGGTTCATTATCCGTTGTTATTTTAATTTTGATTACCACAGCAATAATCGTAATTGACAAGAGGCATTACAAGGAGTTGCAACAAAAGCAACAACTACCAAGTGTCCAGCACTCACGAGGGGCCAGCAATTATGCTAGGCACCTCACGGGCCATCTTTCAAGAACCCTGTCTACAGATGGGAAAACTGAGGCACACACATGGCTGGCGGAAGCAGGTACCATTTCCTTTGCATCTATAGCTCATGTGCACACAAGCTTGACACACTGTCGCTACTCCTTGCAGCTTGCAAGGGAAAGCTTTTGACCCCTCTTCACCCCATCACAGATGAATAAACAGGCTCAGCTGGCTTAAATGGCATCGGTAATATTACTGAGTACATCCTGAACCAGGCATGGGTCTGGGCGCTGGGGCGGCGGGTGAAGACGAAGCCTCTGCCCTTGGGAAGTTTACACTCAAAACCCTGCCACCGGGAGCGACTCTGTGGCCGGCCTGGGCCAAGCGCTTCTCACAGGTCATCTCGTGGACTCCCTCCTCCTTCCGTAGTGGCCCAGAGAAATTAAGTCATTTGCTCAGGTTTCAGAGCCAGAAAACTCAAGAGTCCAGTCGAGCCTTGAACCTACACCCATCTGACTGCCCCCGCTGTGCTGAGCTCGCTGCCTCCCGCCCCCTTTCCCGGCTGCCCCAGCCGCGGGAGTCGGCCGTGTCCCCAGTGCTGTGGGGAGGCTTCAAGGAGCAGATGGGCATCCCCCTCGGTGGTGGCTGAAGGCCTCAGGCGCTGAAAGGAAAGGACGAGGAGTAAAAGAAGAAAATTACGGAAGCACAGAAGGGATCCTGTTTCCCCAGCATCGAATCACCTGCGAGGAGAAATCAAAGGTTGGCGGGGAAGGTTGGGGTGGGAGGGGAGAGGAGGGAGAGTTACAGGGCCTCTTGGTCCCCAACCCCGGCCCACCACACTCAGACACCCTGATGGCCCTGCCTTCTCCCCACCCTGCCCGGAGGCCCTACCACCAGGTTGGCCACATGGAACCCATTGTGGGAGGAGAGGGGAAGGGATAACGGGAAGGAGGGAGGGAGGAGGGAGGGCAGGAAAAAGGTGATGTCAAGGGTGGGGTGCTGAGGAGGAGAGACCCTGTCTTTGTCTGATCCCCTTGGCCAGGTGCAAGATGGGGAGGCTCCTGGCTCCCCAGATCACTTTCTTCAGGCGGCCTGGAGGCCATCCTCAGTCCACCATGGCGGTATTTCCTTTGCAGACAGGAAGTGCCACATGGTAATGGGGAAACCAATGGGGAGCTATGAATCTGTTGAAAATGCCCCCAGCCCTTCACCCTGGATCTGCCACCAGGCCTCGGAGGGTGGTATGCCGCTCTATGGGTATAGAGTCCAGCTTCCATGATTGGGAAGGAGTGTGTGGGAAGTGAGGGTGCTGAGATAAAGAAGAGGTGTTGAGAGGGGCAGTGGGGTTAAGTGAGAGGGAAGAGAAGGGTAGATGAGAAGGATCAGAAAAGGAAGGGATGTGAGAAGAGGAGGGAGGCAGATGGGCGAGAAAAGCATCGAGGCCAAGGGAGAAAAGAGAGATGTAAGTGTGCCAGGCAGAGCACAGGACCATAGCCTGGCAGTGTGGAAATGAGTACAGGGTGCATGAAGAAGCAGGGTGAGTGGGCTGGGGTAAAGAGAGCTGGAGACGGTGCCCCCACAGGAGGTGACAGAGTCTGTGAGGTGGGGGAGCAGGCACTGAGTAAGGACAGTGGTGTCTGGGAGAAGAGAATGTGTGTTGGAGAGAGCAGGCCCGGCTGTCCCCTCTGTGCCCAGGCCCCATGCATGTGTGCGCATGTGTCAAGGTGTCTCCTCCTCACTCACTCATGGGGGAAGGGCCCGCGTCCGCACAAGGAACAAGATGACTCACTGTAGGGGACACAGTCGTACTGCACCTCCAGGTACTTGTAGGTCCCAGGACAGGGGTCAGGAAAGGCATCCGAGCCGGCGACCACCACACACTGGGTGCGGTTGTTACACCTTCAGAGGAGAGACAGGGTATTGGGAAAGAAACACATAGACTGGATTGGGGGCGGGAGGGGTTCATGCTCCAGGGTCATGGTGTCATAGACACCCCCAAATTGGGAAGGGGCAGTGGAGCTGGAAACCAAGTGATATAGTTTGGATCTGTGTCTGCGCCCAAATCTCATGTTGAATTGTGATCTCCAATGTTAGAGGTGGGGCCTGGTGGGAGGTGACTGGATCATGGGGACGGTTTCTAATGAATGGTTTTAGCACCATCCCCTCCGTGCTGTTGAGATCTGGTTGTTTAAAAGTGTGTAGCACCTCCCCTGTTCTCTTTTCCTCCTACTCTGGCCATGTAAGACGTGCCTGCTTCCCCTTCACCTTCTGCTATGATTGTAAGTTTCCTGAGGCCTCCCCAGAAGCAGAAGCTACTATGCTTCCTGTACAGCCTGCAGAACTATGAGGCAATTAAACCTCTTTTCTTTATAAACTACCCAATCTCAGGTATTTATTTATACCAGTGTAGGAACGAACTAATACATCAAGCCCAGAGGCCTTTTTTGGGCACTTTTTTGTTTCCTGCCTGCTCTCTCTTTCCCACCAGCGTTCTTCTACTTTCAGCCCCAGCACAGCATCATCATCAGAGCTGAGAAGGAGGAGTCACCCCCTCAACAGTGCTTTCCTGGACACCCCTCATCACTTTCATTCTGAATGTAGCTGACAATATTATATCCTTGGCATTTTTCTTTAAATGGACTTTAAAGCCCCCGCATTGGTCACTGGAGAGTAATACATGTGAAGCCATGCACGTGAGGTGGTGCCTCTGCGAACTTACGATCAATGAAATGTTCAGTGTCCAGCTGTGTCCACTTCACACCATCTCGTGGACACGTCCCACCCTTTGGGCAGTGCTGCTGTGCAGACTTATAGCCAGGGCAGCCAGGAGAAAGCGTCCCCAGGGAAAAGCCATTCTCAGTTCCCAAGAGGGAACTCCTCCAAGTCACTGTCAACTTCCCAGGGGGCTGGCTAGCATGTAAGGGGGAACCTATTTAACAACAACAAAAAGATGTGTCTCATCTGCTATCTGTCTCTCTGTCCCCACTGTCAGGGTCCCTGTCCCTTGCAGCAGGCTGGGGCTAGGCCAGGCAGGACGCAGGCATGCAGGACATAGTTTGACAGGCTTCCCCACAGGTATGGGGCAGAAGAGGCCCTGTGTCTCCCCTTCAGTCCTGCTCTTAACCAAGGGTACTAAACACAGGCAGACACTTGAGAAGGGACGAAGGATCTAGCAGGGAGAGAGAAAAATGGGGGGCAGGATGGGGCATGGGAAGGTCTGTCTATATCCATCCACCTCACCCTCTTCTTTAAAAATAGAACACTGGCTGGGCGCGGTGGCTCACACTGCAATCCCAGCACTTTGGGAGGCCGAGGTGGGCGGATCATGAGGTCAGGAGATCGAGACCATCTTGGCTAACACGGTGAAACCCCATCTCTACTAAAAACACACAAAAAATTAGCCAGGCATGGTGGCAGGCGCCTGTAGTCCCAGCTACTCAGGAGGCTGAGGCAGGAGAATGGTGTGAACCCGGGAGGTGGAGCTTGCAGTGAGCTGAGATGGCGCCACTGCACTCCAGCCTGGGCGACAGAGCGAGACTCCGTCTCAAAAAAAAAAAAAAAAAAAGAACACTGGCTGGGCGTGGTGGCTCACGCCTGCAATCCCAGCACTTTGGGAGGCTGAGGCGGGCAGATCACCTGAGGTCAGGAGTTTGAGACCAGCCTGACCAACATGGTGAAACCCTGTCTCTACTAAAAATACGAAAATTAGCCAGGCGTGGTGGTGCATGTCTGTAACCCCAGCTAAACAGGAGGCTAAGGCAGGAGAATCGCTTGAACCCGGGAGGCGAGGTTGCAGTGAGCCGAGACTGAGCCACTGCACTCCAGCCTGAGTGACAGAGCGAGACTCCGTCTGAAACAAAACAAAACAAAAAATAGAATCCTGGGACAGGGTGCAGTGGCTCACGCCTATAATCCCAGAACTTTGGGAGGCTGTGGTGGATAGATCACTTGAGGCCAGGAGTTTGAGAGCAGCCTTGCCAACCTGGTAAAACCCCATCTCTACTAAATATACAACAATTAGCCAGGCGTGGTGGGGCACACCGGCAATCCCAGCTACTCGGGAGGCTGAGGCACAGGAATCACTTGAACCCAGGAGGCAGAGGTTGCAGTGAGCCAAGATCGCACCACGGCACTCCCGAAGTAGACAATTCATACGTTTTGAGTTGTGTGCTGTTGTGAGTAGCCTGATGAAATCTCATGCTGTATGGGGCGTATCCATGCTGTATCTGCTCCCTGTATGTTAGTCACACTAGTGGTCATCTCAGTTATCCATCAACTGTCACGGTTTCATAGTGCTTGTGTTCAAGTAGCCCTTAGTTTATGTAACAATATTTTACTACTAAAAATTACTATTGTTGTTAGGATCTTACTGTGCCTAGTTTATTTTACTTTATTTTATTATTATTATTTTTTGAGACAGGGTCCCACTCTGTCACCAAGGCTGGAGTGCAGTGGTACAATCCTGGCTCACTGCAGCCTCGGCCTCCCAGGCTCAAGTGATCCTCCAGCCTTTGCCTCCCAAGTAGCTGGGACTACAGGTATGTGCCACCATGCCCTGCTAATTTTTGTATTTTTAGTAGAGATGGGGTTTTGCCATGTTGCCTCGGCTGGTCTCGAACTCCGGGGTTCAAACAACCTACCTGCCTCAACCTCCCAAAGTGCTGGGATTACAATTGTATGCCATCACACCCAGCCTATTTTATTTTATTATTCTTTTTTAGACAGGGTCTTACTCTGTTGCCCAGGATGAAAAGCAGTGGTGTGATCATGGCTCACTGCAGCATCAACTTCCCAGGTTATTCTCCTGCCTCAGCCTCCTGACTAGCTGGGACTACAGGCATGCACCACCACGCCTGGCTAATTTTTTTGTATTTTTAGTAGAGACGGGGTTTCGCCATGTTGCCCAGGCTGGTCTCGAACTCCTAGGCTCAAGTGATCCGCCCGCCTCAGCCTCCCAAAGTGCTGGGATTACAGGAATGAGCCACCACATCTAGCTGTGCCTAATTTGTAAATTAAACTGTATTATAATTAGGGATGTATGGGAGAAAACATGGTATATACAAGGTTCAGTAAGTAGCTCTCTGCGGTTTTAGGCATCTACTGGGGTTCTTGGAGCGTTTCCCCAGTGGATAAGTGGGGACTACTGTACCCAGAAGAATTTAAAACAAGCAAATCATTGTACGTGCACATTCACAGCTGGATTATTCACAATCACCAAAAAGTGGAGGAAGCCCAAATGTCCAACAAATGAATAGCTAGGCTGGGCGCGGTGGCTCATGGCTGTAATCCCAGCACTTTGGGAGGCCAAGGCTGGCAGATCAGTTGAGGTCAGAAGTTTGAGACCAGCCTGGCCAACATGGTGAAACCTCGTCTTTACTAAAAACACAGAAATGAGTCTGGGCGTGGTGGTGCATTGCTTGTAGTCCCAGCTACAAGGGACATGGAAGCGGGAGGACTACTTGAACCAGAAAGCGGCAGAAAGCGGAGGTTGCAGTGAGCCCAGATCATGCCACTGCACGCCAGCCGGGGGGACAGAGCGAGACTCCGTCTCAAAAAAAAAAAAAAAAAAAAAAAGCCTCCAGGCTTGGTTGTGGAGCAGCAGGGGTTGGGGACTCAGTGGAGAGGAAGCAGGACTACTCCAGAGGCCTCGTCACACTCCCTCAGCCCCGGTAACTGTTATGCACAGCATTCCCCATGGACTTGGGAACTAGGCCAGATGCTGTACTAGGTGCTGGAGAGAGAATGGAGAAGAATGCAGTCCCCCAAAGCTGGTGTTGAATGAAGTCAGCAGGGAGAATTTGGAGAGGTGGGAGGAAGGGGGATCCCCAGGAGGGGGCGCACAGCCTAAGCAAAGGCTGGAGCCTGGACTGAGAATGCCCATGTAGGGGTGTCAGGAGACAAGAAGCAGGGAAGAGAGGCAAGACTGTTGGAGGGGAATGGCAGTTTGAGAGAGAGACAGAGGAGGAGGAGGAGATGATGAGGCGCCTCCAGCCCAGCCCAGCCCAGCTGTCTCAGCCACCTGAACACTCCCATCCGCTGCCCAAACTTCTCCTGCTCTCCTGGGGCTGTCAGTGACCCGCTCCTCCTCGAGTAACACACATTTTTTTTTTTTTTTTGGTTTGAGACACAGTCTCACTCTGTCACCTAGGCTGGAGTATAGTGGTGTTATCTTGGTTCACTGCAACCTCCACCTCCCAGGTTCTAGTGATTCTCCTGCCTCAGCCTCCCACGTAGCTGGGACTACAAGCTCGCACCACCATACCAGGCTAATTTTTGTATTTTTAGTAGCAGATGGGATTTCACCATGTTGGCCAGGCTGGTCTTGAACTCCTGACCTCAGGTGATCGACCCGCCACGGCCTCCCAAAGTGCTGGGATTACAGGAGTGAACCACCGCGCTCGGTCTGTTTTTTTTTTTTTTTTTTAAGAGACAGGGTCTCTCGCTCAGTCACCCAGGCTCGAGTACAGTGGGATCATAGCTCATCAAAGCCTCAAACTCCTGGGCCCAAGTGATCCTCCTGCATCAGTCATCTAAGTAGCTGGGACCACAGGCACACACTAACATGACTGGCTAATTTATTTTTACTTTTTAGTAGAGACAGGGTCTTGCTACGTTGCCCAGGCTGGTCTCGAACTCTTGACCTAAAGCGATCCCCTGCCTCAGCCTCCCAAAGTGCTGGGATTACAGGCATGAGCCGCCGCATCCAGCCTGGGTGTAATCTGAAGGAAAGGCTGATCGGCTCTACGTGGACTGACTGGGTGTGAGAGAGGCTTGTGCAGATTTGCCTCAGCCTGGGGCAACCACACTCCATGCTCACACATACAGTCACAAACACACTCAGAGAAATACAAATACACTCTCAGTCAACCACACACAAACCCTCATCCACATACACACATCTGCCCACAGACACACTTAAACACACAAAGACACAGCCACATCCATCCACCCACCCCCACACACGCTCACCCATCCACCCCACCACTCACACATACGAAAACACACCTCAGTCAGCCACACACACTCTAACACACATGCTCACTCAAAGAGATATGCTCACACACGTGCTCACACCCACACCTGCTCACATACACTTAAACACACCCAAACACACTCAGACATATAACCACATATTTACCCACAAACACCCACATTCACACACACATATCCACCCACCCAGATACACACTCCAATACACACAGTCACTCAGACAGACAGACACACTCAGACACACTCAAAGACATGTTTAGTCACATACCTCTGCACACACCCACACCTGTTCACACACACTCAGACACACACAGTCACAATCACACACATTTAGTCACACACTCAAACACACACACATACACTAAAATACACAGGCTGAGCGCCGTAGCTCATGCTGGTAATCCCAGCACTTCAGGGGACCAAGGTAGGCAGGCGAATCACCTGAGGTCAGGAGTTCAAGACCAACCTGGCCAACATGGTGAAACCTTGTCTCTACAAAAATACAAAAATAAGCTGGGCATGATGGTGCGTGCCTGTAATCCCAGCTACTTGGGAAGCTGAGCCGGGAGAATCGCTTGAACCCTGGAGGTGGAGGTTGCAGTGAGCTGAGATCACACCACTACACTACAGCCTGGGTGACAGAGCAAGATTCTGTCTCAAAAATAAATAAAATAGGCCGGGACAGTGGCTTACGTATGTAATCCCAGCACTTTGGGAGGCCAAGGCGGGCGGACCATGAGGTCAAGAGATCGCGATTGGCTGGGCGTGGAGGCTCACGCCTGTAATCCCAGCACTTTGGGAGGCTGAGGTGGGCGGATCATGAAGTCAGGAGATTGAGACCATCCTGGCTAACACAGTGAAACCCCGTCTCTACTAAAAAATACAAAAAACTTAGCCAGGTGTGGTGGCGGGCGCCCGCAGTCCTAGCTACTCGGGAGGCTGAGGCAGGAGAATGGCGTGAACCCGGGAGGCGGAGCTTGCAGTGAGCCAAGATCGCGCCACTGCACTCCAGCCTGGGCACAGCGAGACTCCGTCTCACAAAAAAAAAAAAAAAAAGAGAGAGAGAGATCGAGACCATCCTGGCCAATATGGTGAAACCCTGGCTCTATTAAAAATACAAAAAAATTAACTGGGTGTAGTGGCGGGCGCCTGTAGTCCCAGCTACTTGGGAGGCTGAGGCAGGAGAATCGCTTGAACCCGGGATGCAGAGGTGGCAGTGAGCCGAGATCGCGCCACTACACTCCAGCCTGGGTGACAGAGCAAGACTCTGTCTCAAAAATTAAGTAAAGAAATAAAATAAACAAAACAAGACAAATACACAGTCATACTCATAGATGCATGCAATCACACAGACACACTCCAAGTTCCAGTCTTGCATGCTCAAGCACTCACCCCACACACAATCACTCACACCACACACAATCACTCACACCACACACAATCACTCACACAGGCCTGTGCTTCCATTATCTGTGCACAGGTGTCTTGTCCTTGGAGTAGCCTGATGAGCTCTCAAATCTGGGATGGGTGGGTGCGGTGGCTCATGCCTGTCATCCCAGCACTTTGAGAGGCCAAGGCAGGAGGACTGCTTGAGGCCAGGAGTTTAAGACCAGCCTGGGCAACACAGCAAGACCCCACCTCTACCAAAAAATAAAATTAGCCAAGCATGGAGGCATGCGCCTGTAGTCCCAGCTACTCAGGAGGCTGAGGCAGGGGGATTGCTTGAGCCTGAGAGGTCAGCGCTGCAGCGAGCTATGATTGTGCCACTGTGCTCCAGCCTGGGCAACACAGTGAGACCCTATCTCCGAAAAAAAAAAAAAAAAAAAGTCTGGGATAAAGGGAAAAGGCCTCCCATGACACCTCCACTCTGTGCTGCTCTTCTTTATATTTTTTTACAAGCTCCAAACTGCCCTGGTTAAGGCTGGGCCTGGTGGCTCATCTCATGCCTGTAATGGCAGCACTTTGGGAGGTCAAGGTGGGCGGATCACCTGAGGTCAGGAGTTCGAGACCTGCCTGGCCAATTACAAAACCCTGTCTCTACTAAAAATACAAAAAAATTAGCCAGGCGTGGTGGCGTGCGCCTACAATCCCCAGCTACTTGGGAGGCTGAGGCAGAAGAATCGCCTGAACCCAGGAGGTGGAGGTTGCAGGTGAGCCCGGAGATGCCCACTGGCCGCCTCCCAGCCTAGCTGGGGGTGACCAGGAGGTGAGAGACTCCCCGTCCTCCAAAAACCAAACCAAACTGCCCTGGCTGATCTTGGGATGGAAGCTTTTGGAAGCAAGTGGCTGGTGCAGGGAGGGACTTGCCAGTGTACGTATGGGTGTAGGCCTCTGTGGGGGGCACGGGCTGGTTGTGGGGAGATGGACTGGGTCTTATTCTCATCTGCATAGGGCCCAGCACCCATTAAGCGCTCAGTAAACATGTATTGAATGCATTAAAAAACCACTTAAGGTGAACGGGTGCACCGGCAGGTGTCCAGTGCTTTTAGGCGGGCGCTTCATCCAGGAATGAGAGCCCACTCACCTCTGTGACATGATCTTGAAGGCGTCTGGCAGGTAGCACTGCACATTCTCCATCTGGAAAGGGTCAGCGTCACAAATCTTGTCGTCCGTGCGCCCGTAGTTGGCGTTCTCCACCATGATGACGTCGCTGCCGGGGCACCGCAGCTCGATGGGGTAGCCTTCACACGCCAGCTCCCGGCGCATCAGCCCGAACGGCAGCCCGGCCCGGCTCAGGCCTGCGGAGAGGGTTGGGGACGGTGTCACTCCCGGGCCTGGGCCAGGAAGGAAAGACCCTGCCCGCTGCCGAGAAAACACCACCTGTAGCTTGGCTGAGTCCCGGCAGCCGGCGGAGGCAGCCTCAGTTGATTCAGCTGTAGAATGGGCCTCTCGGTGTGCCCATTTGTGTAGTGAGGACATTAACCTGGTGCAAAGAGAGGCTGGACTCTCACCTCCTAGGAGGTGACGTCTAAGCCTTTGGAATGCTCTGCTTAAGAGTGTCTGTTTTCCTAGGAAGTGCTGGGGCTACATCAGATATGCTGTTATGGCTTGAACTGTGTCCCCCCGAAAATTCATATGCTGAAGTCCTAACCCCCAGGACCTGAAAATGTGACATTGTTTGGAGAAAAGGTCTTCATAGAGGTACACTCAAATGAGGCTGTTAGGGTAGGCTGCGATCCAATATGACTGTGGTCCTTATAAATACGGGAAATTCTGGCCAGGCGCAGAGGCACACACCTGTAACCCCAGCATTGGGGGAGACCAAGGTGGGCAAATTGACCAGTAGTTCGAGACCAGCCTGGGCAATATAGTGAAACCCTGTCTCTACAAAAATACACAAATTAGCCAGACGTGGTGGCACACACCTGTAGTCCCAGCTACTGGGGACGCTGAGGTGGGAGGATCACCTCAGCCCAGGAAGTTGAGGCTCCAGTGAGCCATGACTGTGCCATTGCACTCTAGCCTGGGCAACAGAGCGAGACCCTATCTATCTCAATAAAAAAAAAGGGGGTGGGAGGTTGTTTTTAAGGCAGGCTCTTCCTCTGTCACCCAGGTTGGAGTGCAGTGGTGCGATCATGGCTTACTACAGTCTCAACCTCCTGGGCTCAGGTGATCCTGCCTCAACCTCCCAAGTAGCTGGGACTACAGATTCACGCCAGCATGCCTAGCTAATTTTTTAAACTGTCTCATAGAAATGGGTCCCTTTTCTGTGTTGCCCAGGCTAGTCTGGTCTCAAGCACTTCTCCTGCCTTGGCCTCCCAGAGTGCTAGGATTATGGGACTGAGCCCTCGCACCCGGCTAAAAGGGGAAATGTGGGCACAGACGTGTAAAGGGGTAAGACAATGTGAAGACACAGGAGCAGGTGGCCATCTAGCTACAAGTCAAGGAGAGGCCAGGCACAATGGCTGATACCTGTAATCCCAGCACTTTGGGAGGCTGAGGTGGGTGGATCACCTGAGGTCAGGAGTTCGAGACCAGCCTGGCCAACATGGTGAAACCCCGTCTCTACTAAAAAACTACAAAAATTAGCCGGGTGTGGTGGTAGGCACCTGTAATCCCAGCTACTCAGGAGGCTGAGGCAGGAGAATTGCTTGAACCCAGGAGGTGGAGGTTGCAGTGATGGCATGCAAAGATCATGCCATTGTACTCCAGTCTGGGCAACAAACAAACAAAGACACATGGTCTCTGGTACTTTGTTAGGACGGCCCTAGTTAATGAATATGCTAACAGGACTTAGGGCAGGAGCTCTGGGTCACGTGGTCTCAGCTAACCTCTAGACGTGCTAGAGATTCAGCTCAGCCCTGCAGGTGGTCAATCAGGGCTACAGAACTGAACTCCAATACAGACCCTGGACAACAAGGCTTGGGGGAGCCTCTCTGGTTGGCAGTACACCATGTGCGTTGTCACACATTGTTGCCGGGAGAGTTAACGCTGTCCAGGACTCCACTGGAGGGGGTACTTGGAAACTCCATGAACGGAACTTTCTTGGACTCTACCCTATGCACCTTTTCCCTTGCCTTATTTTTATTTGTTTTGAGACAGAATCTCGCTCTGTCACACAGGCTGGAGTGCAGTGGTGCAATCTCAGCTCACTGCAACCTCTGCCTCCCAGGTTCAAGTGATTCTCCTGCCTCAGCCTCCCAAGTAGCTGGGATTACAGGCGCCCGCCACCACACCCCACTCATTTTTGTATTTTTAGTAGAGATGGGGTTTCGCCATGTTGGCCAGGCTGGTCTCAAACTCCTGACCTCAGGTGATCTGCCCGCCTGAGCCTCCCAAAGTGCTGGGATTACAGGCGTGAGCCACCGCACCTGGCCTGTTTGTTTTTTCAGACAGGGTCTCACTGTGTCACCTAGGTTGGAGCACAGTGGCGCGATCATAGCTCACTGCAGCCTCAAACTACTGGGCTCAAGGGATCCTCCTGCCTCAGCCTCCCGAGTAGCTGGGACAATAGGCACATACCACCATGCCTGGCTAATTTTTATTTTTTGTAGAGATGGGGTACTTGCCATGTTGCCCAGGCTGGTCTCGAACCCTTGAGCTCAAGCAATCCTCCCGCCCTGGCTTCCCAAAGCATTGAGATTACAGGAGTGAGCCAGTGCACCTGGCCCTGATTTTAATCTGTATCCTTTTGATGTAATAAACTGAGAGCATAACATCTTCTAGTCAGTTCTAAGTCCTTCTAGTGAATGCTCATACCTGAGTGTTCTCTGGGAGACCCCCAAATGTATTGTTGGTATCAGAAGTGAAGCTTGTCTTGGGGACTTCCCTAACTTCACCCCACCCCATGCGAGGAGCAGAGAAAGCACGGGAATGAACTCATGTTTCTAGAAGAAACCACAGGAGACTGGTTTTGCGGCTGACAGGGCAGATGTGAGGGCTGGTTCAGAATGCAGATTCGGGCCCTATGCTGGGCCTGCTGGATCAAAATCGCAGGGGTGAGGCCAGGAACCTGCAGGGTTCTGTGCCAACCAGGTGATGGTGATGCACGATCAAGTTCAAACAGTGGCCGGGTGCAGTGGCTCATGCCTGTAATCGCAGCATTTTGGGAGGCCGAGCTAGGTGGATCACCTGAGGTCAGGAGTTCAAGATCAGCCTGGCCAACGTGGTGAAACTCCATCTCTACTAAAAATACAAAAAATTAGCTGGGTGTGGTGGCAGGCACCTGTAATCCCAGCTGCTCAGGAGGCTGAGGCAGGAGAATCGCTTGAACCCGGGAGGCAGAGGTTGCAGCGAGCCAAGATCATGCCACTGCACTCCAGTTTGGGTGACAAGAGCAAAACTCTGTCTCAAAATAAAAATATAAAAAAAGTTTGAACACCCACTGTTGTTCTCTCCCCAACCTCAGTTTCCCAATCTGTGAAATGGGCACCTACAGCCCCGGGTCATCCTGCAGGGATTCTGTGCCTTAGAAAATGCTCTTGAAGGAAGCAAGGAGCATGGCACCCTGTACATGGAGGGTGCCTGATCAGTATCATCTGGGAAACCTCCTGGGTTTTCTCTGTGACAAGGAAGGGATGTGTCCTGAGCAGGCTGAGCTCCCAGGGCGGACTGCATTGCCCCATGTCGGCCATCATTTTGTACCACACGGGGACGGAGAACCAGAATGTAGGAGCCAGACTGCCGGCTGGGATTGGAATTCCAGCCCGGCCACTCCCTGGATGCAGCCTCATCCAAGTCACTGACCGCCTCTGTGCCTCTGTCCCTCCCCTGAGGGGCAGAGAGGACAATTCCCATCTCACAGGGCTGTTGTGATGGCTCCAGGGTGTTAATGTGCGCAGAGCGCAGTAAGATGATATGAATGCTAATTATTGTTATTATGAGTATTATTAAGGCGGTTTGTCTGCACAACAGAGGGTGCCTGGCAGGGTCCATGATGGCCGGGGCAGCACCTTCTGTGACGCTGGTCCCAGCCAGGCCGTGCGGGGTGCTGGAGGGGAGCAGGGATTCAGCCAGGGGCCCAGACGCCCCAATGTGGGGACCGTCTCTTGGAGGTGAAGGAAGTGACCCCCTGCCGTACGAGGTTTCGGGGGGGCACTCGTGTGGGACAGTTACGGAGTCGAACCTTTCCAGAGATCTGGGTGGGTACCCCAGGGGTATGGCAGGGAGGCCCCTGGGGTTTTTTGGGGTGAGTTGAGTCCCAGCAGGGGGAACATTTCACATGTGTTCCTCCAGCACCATCTGCCTCCTCATCTAATTTTAGCCTTCCCGGGCTTGGGAGGGAGGGCCGGGGGTGGAAGCCTGGCTCAGATGGGTCTGGGGGTGGAGGCGGCCCCTCCCGGCCCAGCTGGGGCTATGGGGCAGGACCTGGATGGGCAGAGAATGTAGCAGCAGGGGAGTGAGGCTGCTGGCCAGCGGGGCAGTGCCAAGGCCCTGGGGCCCAGCCGAACCGTGTCCCTTCAACCTTTGGAGCTTTCCAGAGGGCAGGGCCGGAGGGAGCAGAGTCACCCGCCGATGCCCTTCACACGGCGGGTGTGTGAAGGGATGTCAGGGCGGGCAGGGGGCACATCCCAGGGTGAGGGGCCAGGCCCACTGGCCTCTTCTCTTGGCCTCTCACCTTATCCTGCCCTTGCCCCTGGCCTGGGCCCGCCACGGGGCCAGTAATTGAGTAACCGGTGAGGGTGGGCGGGCAGGCTTGGGGCACTAATTGTGGCATGTGCAGGATCCCAGGGCCAGCATAGGGCTGAGCGGGTAATTAGTTGTTTTTAAATAAACGTCAGCGGGCATGCTTTAATTAAGCCTTCTTCCCAGTGAGAGCCTTGAAGATGTAATCACAGAGAGAGAGAGAGAGAGAGAGAGAGAGAGAGAGAGAGAGAGAGAGAGAGAAAGAAGCATCGGCTCACCAAGGCCTGTCCTCGTCCCAGGGGCCACAGCAGGATGGCCCCTACCAACCTGGCCCAGCCGACTTGTTGGAGGTGAGGGGATGGTCCAGGGGCCTCTTGGTGGCGCTGGGGTGTGTGTTACCACTGAGTCTTCCACTGGCCTGCTTCAGCTGAGGTCTGGGCGGGGCGGGGGGCTGTGATTCTTTACTGAGTGATCAGGAGGGTTTTCAACATTTTGTCTGCCCTCCCAGCAGGGTTTGGGAGCCGAGGCCCCTCCCCGGCGCCAGCAGCACCTACCTTGGGTGGCCGAGGTGACCAGGACGGCGGTGACACACAGATTCCAGAGCACTGCGGCCAGGCGGGCCATGGTGGCAGCCGGGTGCGTGTCCGGGACTCTCAGTGGCCTGTGCGGGGGGCTTCGCCCCGCATCACCTGGCGGGCACCACGGCCTGGACCACCAGCCTGGGGGAGGACAGGGAGAGTGAGGTGGGGATAGGACCTCTGGGCTGCTCCCCTCTCCTCCTGCTGGTGGCTGAGTGGCTCTGAGAGCCTGAGGTCCAGCACGTCCCTCGAGCCAGCCCTATCTGGAGGGCCCCCTCCAGGGCCTGCAGCTCACACCACAGCCCCCACCCCTACACGCAGCAGGCAGACCCACCCATCTGGGCACCTCTGGGCAAACAGACTGCCAACTCTTCCCCGCCGGAACCTCCTGGGACAGCTCCTCCGGAAGCCTCTTCCCCATGCCCCTGTCCTGACCCTGCCCACTCACCTCCCCGACCCGCATCCTCACTGTGAGAAAGGAGGTGATGAGCGTCCTCCTGAGTGAGGGACACAGGCGTGTAGCCCAACCTGCAGCCTCCGTCTTGGGCAGGAATCCAAGCCCCCGCCCCCAGCCCCCTGCTTCCTGTCTCTCAAGCTCTGGTGGCTAATTAGAATCTAGCTGGCGCCACAGATCGGGAACCAGGGACGCCCGAGTCCCCTCTTTCCTCTCTGGGAGACCTTCAGGGTAAGCTGGAGACAGGCAGGCGGGATGGGAGGGGGGCACCGCCTCCCCCTCTGGTGGGAGGGCAGGGGGGATGCGGGAGGGGTGAGAATTGTGTGCCGTCCCTTGCCATCCTCCCCACCTGCTCTGTCACCAGGCATAGCGGCTCAGTTCTTTTTCTTTTTTTATTTTAGAAACCGGGTCTCACTCTGTTGCCCAGGCTGGAGTGCAATGATACAATCATAGCTCACTGCGGCCTCGACCTCCCAGACTCAAGCGATCCTCCCATCTCAGCCTCCCGAGTAGCTGAGATCGCAGGCTTGCACCTCTACCACCAGCTAATTTTTAAATTTGTTGCAGAGAGGAGGTCCTGCTGTGTTGCCCAGACTGATCTCAAACTCCTGGGCTAAAGGATCTTCCTGCCTGGGCCCCCCAAAACTTTGGGATTAAAGGAGTGAACCACTGTGCCCAGTCCAGGGCTTGGTTCCAACCAGTTTCTTCCTGCCTTAAGGCTGCTCCTTCTCACCTCTCCCTGCCTCAGTCTCCCCAGATCCTCTCAAGTTTGCATGCTCAAGTATCTGTCCTCAGCTCTTTATCGACACCCTGGTTCTCCAGGTGTGGCCCCAGCATACTGGAATCAGCCTTGCCAGGAACTTGGTAGAAACGCATTCTCTCTTATTTTTTTTTTTTTTTTTTGAGACAGTCTCGCTCTGTCGCCCAGGCTGGAGTACAGTGGCACGATCTCGGCTCACTGCAAGCTCTGCCTCCTGGGTTCATGCCGTTCTCCTGCCTCAGCCTCCCGAGTAGCTGGGACTACAGGTGCCCGCCGCCGTGGCCAGCTAATTTTTTTTTGTATTTTTAGTAGAGACGGGGTTTCACTGTGGTCTCGATCTTCCAACCTTGTGATCCGTCCGTCTCGGCCTCCCAAAGTGCTGGGATTACAGGCGTGAGCCACCGCGCCCAGCCTCTCTTTCTTTTATTAAGAGACAGGGTCCTGCTCTGTTGCCCAGGCTGGAGTACAGTGGCACAATGACAGCTCACTGCAACCTCCAGATCCTGGGTTCAAGTGATACTCCCACTTCAGCCTTTCCAGTAGCTGGGACCACAGGCTCTCGCCAACACGCCCAGCTAATTTTTAATTTTTTTACAGAGACAGGATCTCGCTATATTGCCCAAGCTGGTGTCGAACTCCTGGCCTCACCTCCTGCTGGCCGGGTGCAGTCTCAAAAAAAAAAAAAAAAAAAGATCCTCCCGCCTCAGTCTCCCAAAGTGCTGGTATTACAGGCGTGAGCCACTGTGCTGGCCAGAAATACACATTCTCTGAGGTAGGCCCTCCAGCGTGGGAACCCCTGCTCTGTCACATCCAGCTATCATCGCAGCCTGTCCCATCTCAGGCTGTCCTGGGCTCTCAGTACTATCATTGAGGCAGCACTTTCTTTTTTTTTTTTTTTTTTTTTTTGAGACAGAGTCTCGCTCTGTCGCCCGGGCTGGAGTGCAGTGGTCGGATCTCAGCTCACTGCAAGCTCCGCCTCCCGGGTTCACGCCATTCTCCTGCCTCAGCCTCCCGAGTAGCTGGGACTACAGGCGCCCACCACCGCGCCCGGCTAATTTTTTGTATTTTTTAGTAGAGACGGGGTTTCACCGTGTTAACCAGGATGGTCTCGATCTCCTGACCTCGTGATCCGCCCGTCTCGGCCTCCCAAAGTGCTGGGACTACAGGCTTGAGCCACCGCGCCCGGCCGAGGCAGTACTTTCAAATCTCTTATGTCCAGCCTGGAATCTCTCCTCCAAGCCCCCACTACTATTTCCCTGCTAAAAATCGAAACCCTTGCAATTGGCCCAGTTAGCTCCCTGACCCTATTTCTGCTCCAGTCACTCTTGCCATTCCTGCACCACAGCAGGCCCTGCCCCAGGGCCTTTGCACCTGTCGCTTCTGCCAACCCACTGTCCACATGGCCAGCTCCTTCAGGCCTCTGCTCGATAGAACTATTCACCTGGTGTATAGAATGTCCTTTTCATGGGGCAGGGATCATTGAACTGTTTTGCTCATGGTAGCCGTATCCCCAACTTTTATTTACTTTTATTTTTTTAGAGATAGGATCCTGCTCTGTCACTCAGGCTGGAGTGCAGTGGTGAAATCATGCTTCACTGCAGCCTTCACCACCCAGGCTCAAGCGATCCTCCTGCCTCGGCCTCCCTAGTAGCTGAGACCACAGGTATACACCATCACGTCCGGCTAATTTATTTTATTTTGTAAAGATGAGGTCTTGCTATGTTGCCCAGGCTGAACATGAACTTCTGGCCTCCAGAGATTCTTCTGCCTCAACAACCCAAAGTGCTGGGATTACTGTGTGAGGCCACCCCCCACAGCTGACTTCATATCCTCAACTTTTAGAATAGGCCCGGCACGCGGCAATGAATTATTTGTTGAATGAATCTCAGATCCTAAAGCTAGGACTCTGCCCTGATTTCTCACCTTCCCTGTCATCCCCCTCACAGAAGCCATCCGCAAGTCCTGTGGGCTCTGCCTCTAAAGTATCTCGCCGACCTGCCCGCTTCTGGCTCCAAGCACAGCACCCAGGTCCATGCCACCATCCTATCCTGTACGTTGTCCCGGCCTCCTTGCCCGCCTCCCAATCCGCCCTCCACTCAGAGCTAAGGGACCACGTAATGACGCTGATCCCAACATTAACCAGTCTCTGCTGGGGTCTCAGTTCCTCACCAGAGCCCAGAGGCTGTGGGTGAACTGGTACCACCAAGCTCTCCAAGCCCCATTCTGTCCTCCCTCCTGTTCCTGAAACATTCCAGTTCCAGCCCCCAAGCAGGATCCCTGCACGTCGGCTGCAGCTGCTCATTGTTCGGGGCTCAGCAGCAAGGTCACCCCAGCAGAGTGACCTACCCTGGCCCCCTGCAAACGAAACAGCCCTCGCCTGCTGCCCTCGGCCGCCATCCTTTTCCGTGTTTTTAATTCACAGCTCTCAAGTGAGCACCTGAAATTACCTTTTTATATCAACACAAGCTTCTTGAGAGAGGCCCTTACAAATAAGCACACGACCGGGTGCGGCGACTCACGCCTATAATCCCAGCACTTTGGGAAGCCGAAGAGGGCGGATCAACAGAGGTCGGGAGTTCAACACCAGCCTGGCCAACATGGTGAAACCCCGTCTCTACTAAAAATGCCAAAAAATTAGCCGGGCATGGTGGCGGGTGCCTGTAATCCCAGCTACTCGGGAGGCTGAGACACGAGAATTGGTTGAACCCAAGAGGTAGAGGTTGCAGTGAGCCAAGATCACGACATTGCACTCCAGCCTGGGCGACAGAGCCAGACTGTCTCAAAAATAAATAAATAAGCCAAGCACAGTGGCTCACGCCTATAATCCCAGCACTTTGGGAGGCCGAGGCGGGCGGATCACAAGGTCAGGAGATCGAGACCATCCTGGCTAACACGGTAAAACCCCATCTCTACTAAAAATACAAAAAAATTAGCCGGGCGTGGCGGCAGGCGCCTGTAGTCCCAGCTACTCAGGAGGCTGAGGCAGGAGAATGGCGTGAACCCCGGAGGTGGAGCTTGCAGTGAGCCGAGATCGTGCCACTGCACTCCAGCCTGAGTGACAGAGCGAGACTCTGTCTCAAAAAATAATAATAATAAATAAATAAATAAATAAAATAAAATAAACAGCACAGACCCTCAAAAAATAAAGATCCCCATAGGGGAGGACACCTGCCTCCAGACCTCAGTCTCCTCACATGGGAAATGGGAAGATAATATCTGCTAGACAGCCCTGAACACCCCCTCTCCAGCCTTGCAGCTCTCTGCCCGCTTCCCCTCTCATGCCCATTCCTGATGCCAGCTCCCTCTCCACTGCCCCAGCTTCTTCAGTAAATCCCCCCCAGTCACCTCCAGCCCCCATCTGCATCTCCCCCCACATCCCTGACAAGACACGGCTGGTGTCACTTTCAGATCATTTTACAGCATGTTACCCCCCGAGCCGCCACCAGCCCCCATCCGCTGACTAGACACGGCTGGTGTCACTTTCAGATCATTTTACAGCGTGTTACCCCCCCCCCATCCGCATCTCCCCCCACATCCCTGACTAGACATGGCCGGTGTCACTTTCAGATCGTTTTCCATCACGTTACCTTGGGGATGGGGAGTGGCTTTCTCATTTCAACTTCCTCATTTCCCCCCGCAACTTCCCAGAACCACAGAAAGGTTCAGGGGAGCCCCAAGCTGAGGAGTACTTCCCTCTCTGGGTCTCCAAGTGCTTTCTTTCACACTGCAACAGGTATCCTAGCAAGAGGAGCTACTGAGGGGAAGTAAAAATGGCTGGCTTGGTGTGGTGACTCATGCCTGTGATCCCAGTGCTTTGGGAGGCTAAGGTGGGTGGATCACTTGAGCCCAGGAGTTCAAGGCTGCAGTGAGCTATGATGGTGCCACTACACTCCAGCCTGGGCAGCATGTCTCTAGAATTTTCTTTTT